GGACCTGACTGTGCTCCTGAGCTGGGGCAGTGGTGGCGGAAGCAGAGGCGTAGAGCGCCTTGTTTTGCTTTCCACACCACCCGCCTGGGAGTTTCATTCCGCCCCCCTCTGCCCTGACCTGGGATAGAGTCACAGGCAGGGCCTGGAGCTGCTGAGCTGGGCATCTGCATCATCCCTCTGCCGAAGCCCAGTTCCCAGCCCAGCACAAGGCCTCTCCTGCTCCTCCTCCTCCTGCTGTCTCTACCTCTTCTGCTGCATCGGTTTCACCCATTAGCACAGAAGACAAGGCTGAAGCTCTGTTTACCTCCACTAGAAACTGTCGGTTTGTCTGGCTGAATCAGCAGAAAATCTGGGGTCTTCAGGGACACTTTGTCTACCAGGCAGCCAGAGCCTAAGGAGGCAGGGTCTGGGCCTGCACGTATTTGTCCACACTCTGGACAGTTTGTTCTGCCAGGGACTCAGAGACATGAGGCTTGCTCTGGTTTTTGGCCGTGACTTTCTTTATTTTATATATTTCGGGTTTTCTTTTTAATACACTAGGAATCAAACTCAGGACCTCACACTTGCCGGGCAGGTACCATGCCTTTGAGCTATATCCCCGGCCCTATTTTGTATATTTCACACCTTCAGACAAATTTCTAAATAGATATCATGTAGCATATGCATTATGCAGCCACAGTCCTTGGCCATGTTTCTAAATCCTCTCAAGAGTTAGTCCTTTTATGCTGGGCATGGTGTACATGCCTGTAATCCTGGCACTCCGGGTGGCTGAGGCAGGAGGGTCACTTGTTAGAACCCAGCCTGGGCAACTTAGCAAGTTAGTAAGTCCCTGTCTCAAAATAAAAAGTGAACCAATGCTGGAGAGGGATGCCATGGGAAGGCTCTGGAATCCACCCCCTATCCTGGGACGGGGTCACTTCCTCATCCTCAGGGAGAAGTGATGGGAACAGCACCTCCACACCCTTCCAAATGTTGATCAACAACTCTGAATCTTCTCTCTGAATGACCGAGAAGAAAAGATGTCATGCTGGTTTGGCCAAACCCACTGAGTGGCTTGGTGCTGGTGACTCATTCACTGCCTCAGAGCAGTCGCGCCCCTGTGAACCTGGAGGAGGGAGGGCGCATTCACCTGCCCAGAAGCTGAGCGGATGGAAGAGGAGGCATCCCTATCTCACCCGGATGCAGGTGTATCTGTGCTGGGTGCGAGTGCCCCGCCTCGCCTCCATCAGCCTGCTGCAGCCTTTCCCAGGTCGGGCGCCTGTGCCTTAAAGACCCCAGGAAGTGTTCTGCTGCTTCGCAGCACAGTCACCCCAGAGAAAGCTAGAGCCGCTCTAGGGTCTCTGCGGGTGGCCCGTCAGCAGATTCACAGTGGAAGCCTTGCTCTGGCTCCCAATTGCATCGTGGCCTAAGTGGTCCAGTGTTGCACACGAGGGTGGCAGCCCAGGTCTGGGGGCAGAGCTAGGAGTGGATGGTGGATAGTATCCAAGACTGAGCTGTGGCCACATGGAAAACAGGTAGAAAAGAAATCAGAAGCAGAAATGCCATTTGCTCAGCAGTCCCACTCAGGGTCTATGCACAAAGGAGGCCTTGAACTCCTCAAATTTCCAGCGATCCTCTTGTCTCAGCCTGCGGAGTGCTAGGATTCCAAGCAAGAGTTACTGACACCCAACAGGGCCTGGCACTTTTGATCTCTAGTTTTTAAGGCTGTTTTTTGCTGGCCAGGTCTTATTTTGAGTGAAACACAGTGGGTTTTTCTTTAAACCAATGATTAGATTCATTAAAAGGGACTGCCTAGTACTGGGGAGAGAGCTCCGCAGAGAGCATGTTTACCACAGGCAGACACTGGGTTCGGCCCTCCACACAGGCTGCTTGGGTGAGTTGGGTTGTCATGGAGATTTTTAAGGGCCAGTGGTCCTGTCAGGTTTTGTCAATTTACATCCTGTGGTGGGTTGACTTATCATCAGCTGCCCTGAGGCAGTGTGGTGCCGGGTGTGGAGGGCCTCCTGAGGATGGCTGCCAACAGCAGACAGAGAACTGGAAGGAAAGGTGGTGTTACTGATTCTTCTGGAGAAGCTTGTCTGGCTGGCTTTCCTGATAGGAACTCTGCTGTTCTATCATCAAAGGAGCTCAGGTCCTTGTCCCTGAGGACAGCTGTGGTTCTTTTCTGGGGAGCTCTGGTCCTTACCTTGAGTGTCGTTTCCTGGCTCCAGTGCAGACCTCTCAGCCTGCTGGCACAGATCCTTCATCCCACTGGTGCAGACTTTCTAGCTTCCGCCACTGTCCCCGGAACCTTCGCCAGGGCAGACCGGAGAACAGACTTGCAGGAGACATGTCGTGGGCTCCAGGTCTTCCTCTGGACTCGTGGGGGCCATTGCTGTAGGATCCAGGCCCGCAGCTGGATTCTTTGGATCTCTAGCGTGTGGACAGATCACTTGCCCTCTGCTGCATTTGACTCTGGTGAATATCATAAAATAATACTACAAATTATGTGTCCTATATTAAGTCTTCTCCCTTGTAAGCCCTGACTACAGCACTTGCCTATTTCTCAAAGTCTTTCCAACTCTGTTTCCCAACTAGGTTATTTCTTTGCTAAAGGTGACATCAAAGCAGCTCCTTTGTACTTATCTGGTGTTGTCTTTCCTTTCTTCCCTCACTCCTCTCCCTTTTAACTTTTACTTTTTCTTGGAGAGGGGTTGGTACTGGGGATCAAACTCAGGGCCTTTGCAGTAAGCTACGTTCCCAGCAAGTCCCCTCACCAAAAAAAAAAAAGTTTTCATTTTGAGACAATGTCTCACTGAGTTGCTTTTTTTTTTTTTTTTTTTTGTCCTTTTGAGACAGGGACTTGCCACCTTGCTGTGCAATTCAGGCTGGCCTTCGGCTCACTCTCTTTGTAACCCAAGCTGGTCTCAAACTCAAAGCCATCTTCCTGCCTCAGCCCAAGTGCTGGGGTTACAGGCGTGCACCACCATACCTGGCTTTTCACTAAGTTGCTAAATTATCTAGGCTGAATTCAACCTAGTGATCCTCCTGCCTCAGCCTCCCAGACTGCTGGGATTATAGGCTTTTTATTGAGGTAAAACAGATATCTGGGGAAATCTTCATCTCATAAAGGTACACAGTGTGGTGAAGGTTCAGGACCCAGAAACACTGTGGTGCCTCCCGCTGGGCAGCTGTTGTGCCCTATGCTGCCTCACCCTAGGGTGGCCCAGTCCTGACTTCTGACAGGACAAGAGCAGGGCCAGGCTGCGAGCTTCCTACTTTATCCAAGTGGAGGTATTTTTTTTTTTCACATTGGGCTTGGAACACTGTTTTGAGAATTCACACTGTTTGTGATCCCAAGTATGATGAGTGTTTACAAGCTTCTTCAGAAAATGTGTTACAGTGAAAAACACTGCCATGAATCCCCATCAGCATCCTCCCCTTACTTTGCACACACTCGTCCCATTGTCCTCGCCACTTTCCGAAGCAGCTCTGGAGTCCTCTTTCCTGAGGGTCTCTACCAGGTGGGATCAAACCTGCAGTGAATGATGCTGCTCAGTGCCGTCCAACAGAAGGCAGCTCGGAAAAACAAGACATTATCTTCTCATCCACCTCAGTCACTGAATCTGGCACTGTGCAACTTCTAGCTGTTCCCCAAAGTCACAATAACTGGGAAAGGGGGGTGTTTTGAATCTATCCAGGACAGCACAGCTAGAGACCCTCAGGAAAGAGGACTCCAGGGTTGCTGCAGGAAACAGCAAGGATGATGGGATGAGTATATTGGAACAGAGGAGGAGTTTGAGGGGAATCCTGGTGATGTGTCTTACTGCAATACCTTTTTTAAATTTAAACACACAGTTCTGTTTATTTTGCAGTCACATCTTGTGTGTCAGCCTGTGTGTATCTCTCCTGTCCTTGCTGCACATTTTGGAAGCTTCCTGCAGGGGGCTCTTACCAGCAGCGCTAGGAGGACTTACATCCTACAACAGATTCGCAGAGCACTGTGGTCAGGATCAGGCGCTGACAGGTCCTCCCGTGACAGCTCTCCTGAGAGCCCAAGGGCCAGCCTTGTACTTCACTCATGGCTCCTGACAGTGTCCTCTGTCACACACCAGCTGTTTTGCACACTCACCTCCCTCTGGACCGTGAGCTCCTCAAGGGTTCTGTGTCATTCATCTTGGTCTCCCCCCACTTCCCAGAGTGCCTGGGTGGAGCGGACCTTCCACTTAATCATTTCATGCCAGTGGGTGGGCAAAGCAGCTGATTACACACAGCACAGACATGAGGAATGTTCAGAAGTTGCAGAAATAGAAATCACGTGGGCAAAACACAGCAGAGGCAGGCTTAAGGTACTGGACAGAATTTATTAATATTTATGAGGAAAAAAACAGATTTTTCTGAACTTACATGAGAATCTTCTGTGAAGGAGTTTTGTGGGAAATTGGGTATGGATTTTCAGCTACTAGACGTGGAGTGCAATCTAATCTCATGTAGAAGCACGCAAATGTTCCATCCCAGAGGGCTGCGCTTGTGAGCATGTGTTTGAAGATTGCAGAAAGGTGCAGGAGGAGGGGGTGAGCAGGCTGGGTGAGTCAGCCATGTAGACGTCACTGTGACTCTCAGGTCTCAGCTCAATTCCTCATCTGGCTTCTTAGAGCAAGAATGACGCTTTCATCCTCATCATGGCTATAGCCAGCAGGACTTTCAGAGACAAGCAATTTTAGTGCCTTTTTTTGATTTAGTATTATAGCTTTTTAAAATCAACAAATCAAGCCAGGTGTGGTGGTGCAGCCTGTAATCCCAGCACTCAGGAGGCTGAGGCAGGAAGATCACTCCAAGCTCAAAGCTGACTTAGGCTACATAGTGAGATCCTGCCTCCTAAAAAAAGAAAAATATTGCTGAGTTAGCATAGTAAAGATTTATGGGTATTTCCTTCTCCATATTCCTCCACATTCCAAAGATTATTCAGTAACATATGATGTTAAAATCAAAACTACTCCATTCTCCTCTTTTGATTTCAGTCTTGGCCGGACTATGAGGAAATCTATAAACACACTGTTGAAATCGCCACGTTCTTAGATTTGCCCCGTTTTCCGGACATCACTAAGGACTGCTTCCTGCACCCCAACATCCTGTGTGTGAAATACCTGATGGAAGCCAACCTCCCTGGTGAGTGTGCAGGCAGCTTGGTGCAGGGCAGCAGGGTACAGGAGCTTTTCCCTGTTCCAGGCCGCCAGCGCCCCCAGAAACGCTGCATACACCATGAAGCTGCCTTTCTCTTTTCTTATTTTTTTTCCCCATTTCAAAATCCTTTCTGAAAAGGATTCAGGCCTTTCAAAATTGAGGCCATTTCGGGGTGTGGTGGCTCACACCTGTAATCCCAGCACTCTGGAGGCTGAGGCAAAGGGATCATTGCGAGTTCAAGACCAGCCTGAGTTACAAAGTGAGCTCAAGGCCAGCCTGAACTGCATAGTGAGACCCTGTCTCAGAAAGACCAAAAGGGGGCTGGGGATTTAGCTCAGCGGCATAAGCGCCTGCCTTGCAAGCAGGTAGTCGTGAGTTTGATCCCCGGTACCAATAAAAAGGAAAAAGACAAAAAAAAAAAAAAAAAGCAAAAGGAAAAAAAAAATTGAGGCCATTACAGTGCCCAAATGCCAGGTATACTGGCACGCACCTGCCATCCCAGCACCCAGGAGGCGGGGGCAGGAGGATCTCCATGAGTTCAAGGCCAGCCTGGGCTACATAGGGAGAAACACTTCCAGGGACATTGCTGAGGAATAGAGTTCTACCTTGGCATAGGAGATTTCTGCTTGAGGGAAGGTTGGTTTTTTTCAGCACATTTGCAGAGCGTGCGCAGAGCAGCAGCATCGCAGTGTTGCTAACACCTAGCTTGGTAAAGAGTAGCAGTGTGTGAAGTATGGCGACTGTGTGACCAATCCTGGTTTGAGTGAATCCCAGAAGTGACCCTCCGGCTCTTGGCCCTTGAGACCCTGCCACTTGCAGTCCCCAGAGGAAAAGAGATGGAAGCCTCCTCCCTTCCTGGTGCGCCCTCAGCGAGCCAGGCTGTGGGGAAGCCTCACTCCGCCCATCCCTCTGCCCACCCCGGTGTGGCAGGACAGTCATGCTGCTGGCATCTGCCCGAGTTTCTTGCTAGACTGGAAATGTGAGACTGGCGGAGTCTTATTCTTAAGGGAAAATACAAACATGCTGTGATGACATCGCGACTGAAGCGGCATCAAAAATGTAGCTTATCGTATTTTTCATTATTATTTTGTGAGGCAGGGGCTTGGTATGCTACACAGGAACTCTTGGGCCCAAGCGATCCTCCTGCCTCAGCGTCTGCAGTAGCTGGGACTCCAAGCCTATACCTCCATGCTGCCCTTGAATATATTTTAAGTAGGAATACAGATGTGAAAAAGTAATATGCAAAAGTATACAGTAACTATAAAAGTAAAGAGCAAATGTGGCGATATATGTACAAATATGAACAGAAGGTTTTTACAAACAGTAACAAAAATAAGTGAAAGTTTTAAATGTATACTTTATAAAGCTTAGGAGTGTATATCCGTGCTGAGATTTCTGAAGCCACTACTGAATCAAGATTTCAGAATTGGGGCTGGGGATTTAGCTTAGTGGCATAAGAGCCTGCCTTGCAAGCAGGCAGTTGTGAGTTCAATCCCCGGTACCGATAAAAAGGAAAAAGACAAAAAAAAAAAAAATTTCAGAATTATGCAGTTGGACTTGTGGGAGGAAAAAAAAAAAAAAGATTTCAGAATTTGGGAGACCTTTTTCTGTATTTTCATGGGGTGATAGATTAGAATTACTGCCCTGCATTGTTTTTTATTTATCTCTGTGGGGGAGGGGGAGACTGAGGATTGAATCCAGGGCCTCACAATGAGCCACATCCCCAGGCCCTTTTTATTTTTCTGTATTTGCTTTATTTACTTCTGTCTTCTTTTTTCCTTCTTTTATTTTTTGTTGGTTTTTTTTTTTTTTTTTCTTTTTTTAAGGCAGAGTCTTGCTGTGTAGCTCAACCAGCCCTCAAACTCAAGGTGATCCTCCTGCCTCAGCCTCCCGAGTGCTAGAATCACAAACATGTGCCACCATGCCCAGTTTATTTTTTTATTTTGAGTTAAGGGCTCGTTGATTTGCCCATGATGGCCTCAAATTTACAATCCTGCCTCAGCTTCCCACAGTGATAGGATTATAGTTGTGAACCACCATGCCCACCTATACTGTGTAGCTCTTAAGATACTGTTTATGAAGTTAATAAAAGGATTGAAAACTTGTGTTATGAAAAAAAGTGAAACAAGCCAGATTACAAAATAACATGACTGAGCCAGGGATATAGCCCAGCGGTACAATGCCTGCCTGCGAGCGCAAGGTCCTACGTTCAATTCCTAGTACCAAGAACAACAACAACAACGTGACTATAACTACATGAAATTAGAAGTAGATATCCTGAAACATGAAAGTGGCTATTGCAGCCAGGTGTGGTAGTGCATGCCTGTAATCCCAGCACTCAGGAGGCTGAGGCAGGAGGATCACTGCTAGTTCCAGGCCAGCCTGGGCTCCATAGTAAGATAGTGAAACCCTGTCTCAAAAGAAAAAAAAGTGGCTATTTCGAACCAGGGGCCACTGCAGACAGTGATGGCGGCCTTGGTGAGACTTGGCCTTTACATTTCTTCAGGTTCTACGGCCTTAGCAGAGCATCATGTCTTACTTCCCAGAACTAAAGATTGTACCCAAGGCTTGCAGAGCTATATCCCCCATGCCCCACTTTAAATTTTTGAGACACTCTCACTGGGTTGCCCAGGCTGGCCTTGAATTTGGGGTTGTCCTGCCTCAGCCTTCTGAGCAGCTGGGGTTTCAGGTGTGTGCCCTTCGTGTGTGTATCTCTCCTGTCTCTCTCGTGTGGCCTCACGTCTTGTGGGTACACATGTTGCTGTGCTGTAGTTTGCCAAAGAATTTAATTCCGAAGGAAAAAAAGCACTTCACATTTGACCATTTTGCTCTTCAACAGATGAAATGCACGGATTAATCCACCAGGTGACAGAGATGACCGGCTGGGGAGAGGTGGACTCCCTGACCTTTGACCCCATCGCGAAAGCTGCCACAACTGTGAAGTATGACGTGCTGGCTGTGGCTCTCATCGTGGTGGTCTTAAAGCTGCTCTTCCTACTGGACGACAGCGTAGAGTGGTGAGAGTATTTCCATTGGATGGCAAGTGACACTTGATCCGTTCTGAGCACACGTCTGCTTTTTGTTTGTTTTGAGGCAGGATCTCACTGTGCCATTCAGGCCAGCCTTGAACTCACCGTGTAACCCAGAGTGACCCCCAGCTCACAGCAGTCCTCCTGCCTCAGCCTCCCTAGTGCTGGGAGGACAGGGGTGGCTGGCCAGAGTGGTTTTCCTAGTGTTTCCTCCTAGCCTCAGTGATTGTTTCTCCAGGAAAATTCAATGTTTCAAATACTATTTGATACTTTTCTATCCAAAGAATTCAAAATGTAACTCTTAGCTGTACCAGGTGGTGCACACCTGTAATCCAGCACTCCAAAGGCGGAGGCAGGAGCGTGGCCGCAGGTTCAAGGCCAGCCTAGACCACAAATGGAGACTCTGTCTCAAAAAAATAGATAAATAAAAAAACAAAATGTACCATCACATGTGTGATTTCTAAATAAATCAATTCGATTATTGTTATCCCTAGGTCTTTGTCTGATCTCGCTGAAGTCAACAATGAAAAGAACAAAACAGGTACTGACTTTTCTGTGTGTCAAACTCAGAGTGATCATAAATGATGTATCAAAGATGCAGTAAACACAGGGCGGGAACTGGAATAATACATCCACACACAGGCACACGTCTGCATGCACATGCCACACCTGTCCAAGGATACATTTCAGCTTACCCCCTACCAGGTGGCAGCTGCCAGACTACCAGCGGCTCCTGCCGTGCAGAGTGCGTGGCCACTCCGAGTGCCCGTTCTGCCCCCTGGCCAAGGCCACCACGATGTCCTGAGCCTCAGTCTTGGCTCATGCTGGTCCCTCTGCCTTTTCTTCTCAGTGAAGTGGTGAATAGTAGCGATCCTCCTGCCTCAGCCTTCCCAGTGCTGGGATGACGGGTATGCACCACCACACCTGGTTGATACTTGAGTTCTTAAACTCAGACCCACTGTCCTCCTGTTCTAATTAGCGCAGGAGGCTGAGGAGCAGTCGCTTTGTCTTCCCAGAGCCTGTGCGAGGCAATGATTGGCCTCTGACCGCTGCTCTGAGCATCCAGGTGTATTGGGGCCCACAGCAGTTTTGGCTGCTTCCCCAAGGCCCGATCACAGGCCAAGCGGACTGATACTTGACCTCTCCCTTTAGACCTTGGGATGCTGTGCCCCCCGCAGGCTGGGCCGTGGTCCCTGCACTGTCGTCTGCCACCCTCTGACATTCCCGGCTGCTGAGAGGTCACACCTGGGCACTGAATGGGCCCCCAGGCCAGATGGTGCAGGTGACACCTCTGTGCAGAGTCGAAAGAGACGTCTTCATTGGGGGACCATCCCCTTGGTCCCTGCAGGCCCTGTCATGCTGCCTTCCCGAGCTCCGCACAGCTATGGGGGAGCCTGGCAGGGCGGGACAGGGTCCGAACACCCAGTGCCAGCTAAGCCGGCTTCACATGCGTGTCACTCACTATCCCTTGGTCTGCGTGGGCCGGCATGTGGCGCTGGGTTTGGGGAAAGGTGGCGGCCCAGTGGCACTGCGGCAGCAGACCCTGTCATTGTTGTCTGGAGAGGCAGACGGGGGAGGTGACGACCTCAGGCGCCATTGTGGAAATGTTCCACTCCGCCTGGACCAAGGTCCCAGAAGTCCTGTCTCACTGTCTCACTGTTGCACAGTTCGGTTCCCCCATGTCTTCGTGGCCTGTTTCTTGCAGGGAAGCCATGGTTCAGTTTCAGGAAGTGGTACCACGTCATGAAGAGGACACTGGAGGAGCAGAGGCGGAAGTGGGAGGACGCACGCGCCAAGTACGTTGTCGCTGCTTCAGAGATGTTAGGGACCACCAGGGCACCCACCCCTGAGCTGCACCCCCAGCCCCTCTTGTTTTTTATTTCTGAGACAAGGTCTCACTAAGCTGCCCGGGCAGGGCTTGAACTGGTGACCTTCCTGCCTCAGCCTCCCAGAGCAGACGTTCCATCAGCACAGACTCATCAGTGCTGGGACTTTTAGTCTCAGACAAGTTCACCCTCAGGTGAGCTTTTCCCTGTGGGTGCTGGATCTAGAACCCAGGGCACCACATAGGCTGGACGAGGTAGAGCGATAGCCCACCAATTCCAGGCCAGCCTAACCTGCAAGGGGAAAACTCACAGTGCAGTGTGTTCCATGAGTGGTGAAACGAGCCCAAAGCCCAGGCATTCCACCTGCGGATACAGAACAGTGCAGCCATGCAGGAAGCATAGCCCTGTCCCCCAAAGTCATGCGCACATCAAGGTCATACGAGGGCCATCCACTCTGCACTGCTCACCCAAGCATGGGGAGCTCTCGTCCACAAAAGATCATCGGGCCACTGAGTATGGCCTTGTTCACCCCTGCTGGAGCCACAGCAGCTCCCAAGGGCCACGAGATAGCCCGAGTATGGGGCAGCCCCTGAGAGCCAAGCAGAGACTGAGGGCACCACTCAGTGTGGCTCTACTTCCCTTCCAGTCACTTGCAGGGACAGAGAAGCATGTGTGGGTGCACAAGGTCAGGGCGTGGAGACCAAATGGACTCCCAGCACTCAGGAGGCTGAGGCAGGAGGACCTGGGCCACATAGTGAGTCCGAGGCCAGCCTGAACTGCATAGCCAGACCTTGTCTCGTGGGGGGACCTTTCTCTCCCTCCATCTTTCTCTGTCTCTCATAGTCCTGATGGTACTGACTTGATTATTTTTTAAATCCTTAAGAAAAATCCCAATTCTAAATTGACTACAGCAGTCATTGGCCATCATAAGATTACTAAATGTCTACTATTACGCATATTTTCTTTCCAAGTATTAAAAAGGAGCACTACTATTACTACTATTCATTGTAGGTTACCAGAGGTAAATATTTTTGACTTCCGATTCCCTGTCAGCTTTTCTGGAAAATCCACAGATAGGTTCGTTTTGTTCAATGGTTATCTAGGCTGTAGGGAATAATATTAGTAATTATATTACTGTTATTATTATTCCTCGTGCAGCTCTGCAGGGCTAGAGAGGTCAGACTCACCTGGTTGTATCTTCACCCACTTGTCACCACACACTGACATGAGTCTCTGCAAGCTGCCACTCCCTGCCCACATGGGGGCCCAGAGGAGACCGGCCTGCCTCTGCCTTCTCAAACCTTTGTTTGGCACTCAGCTTTCCCTGGGAAGTGGCAGGGCCGGGTTCTCCAACTCAGCACTCTTTCCTGTCGTCACAGCACCTCAAAATCAAAAGGGGCCCTGGGGCACAAAGGCAGCTGTAGTTGTGCCCACGGGTTCTGAGACACCTGTGGAGCTCAGAAGGCGTGGGAATGAGATACAGGTCGGCTCTATGGCCAGACATGGGCACTGCACTTGGGAGGCTGAGGCAGGAGAATTCCTGTGAGTTTGAGGTCAGCTTGGGCTACATAGTGAATTCAGGGCCAGCCTGAGCAACACACCAAGACCATCTCAAAAAATCTTCTTCCTCCTTAAAAAAAGAACACCATCATTGTCACCATATTTGCAGACCACAGCATCCAGGAGGCAGCCTGCAGTGGCACTAGGCCAGGACACTGTGGTCTGTGTGTCTCCCTTCAGGCCTGCAGGGCTGCTCACCGGCAACCCGAAGGATTGCAGCAACTCTTAGTCTCTGCCCTGTAGGGGACCCTGCAGGCCCGGTTAGTCCAGTGTCCCATCCCACCCTCCCCATGCCAGCAACTGTCCCCAGCCAGCCGTGTCCAGCAGGAACCCAACCGGAGGTGCCAGGACTTGGCCCTCGGTGAGGGCAGAGGCAGCAAAGGACAGCTGTCACTCTAGCAACTTCACTTTGAGCAGAAGCCACAGGGAGATGCTGTGGAGGGAGCTCCTCCTGCCTCAGCTTCCTGAACACTGGGGTGGGGGCACCAGCACGCCCTGCCGCCCGTTACTCAGTTCTGTGTGATCAGCACACCCGCCCCGCAGCTTGAGCCCGCACCGTCCACTGTGCCGGGGCTGGACCCCGCCTCTGGCACTGTGTTGAGTGTGCCAGGAGCTCCTAGCCTCCCACCCCAGCTGTCCTCTGCCTTGCACAGGTACATGTGGAAGAGCGAAAAGCCACTCTACCACTCCCACATTGACAAGCCCGTGGCCTACAAGAGGAGGGGTGAGTCGGGCTTCCAGATAACCGGGTGGTGGGGATGCTGTGGAGCTGCCACGAAGATGGCTTGACACTTGAGGGCCCAGGGCAAGTGCATGCTTCCTGGAAACGTCCGAGATGGAGAGTTCCCCAGAGAACCTCGGCCGCTGCGAGACTTCTCAGGGTCTGTGCCCTTAGCCACTGCATAGTTCACAGCAGCACAATCTAAGATGCCAGACCTCGGGCTATGTGAACTGTTGCGAGACTCTCACTCCAGATTGCACTTTTTTTCAGTTCTGGAGGTCAAGTTCAGGGCTTTCACTATGAGCCTTTTCTTAAAGATTATTTTATTTCGAGACACGATCTTATGAAGTTGCCCAAGGTGGTCTCAAACCTGTATCCTCCTGCCTCAGACTCTCAGAGTGCTGGCATGACAGACATGCATACCATTCCCAGCTCTCTTTAAATCTGGATAAACTATACCTCAAATTTGCCATTTGTAATGGTGTTTTCTTACGTGGTTCTTTGCCCTTTATCCAGTTTCTGTCTTGCCCAGCGCCACCCTCATTCTCTGCTGTGAAATGTTCTCTCAGAACCAGGAAGCTGGCGCACCAGACTGGCGTGTAACATGGCACTGCTTGTGTGCGTGCGTCACACCTCCCTTTTCCTTGCATCTCCAGAAGTGGTGGTTAATCTGCAGAAGCAGTTCAGCACCCTGCTGGATCCAGCCCCAACCGTGACGAAGAAAAGCGCTGCGAGTTTCCAGCTCAGCTGGGCCGAAGGCGACCCCGGCCGGCCCTGTTTCCACAGCCACAGTCTTGGGGGTGTCCTGCTAAAAAAAGGCCAGGCACTGGTGACCAAGAACTCCTTATACTGGCTGAGCACCCAGAAATTCTGCAGAAGGTAGGTGATGCTTCAGAGCTCAGGGCTATCGTCGAGGGCAGTCGTTTCGATCTGTGGTGGGTTTGGGTTTGAGTTAGGGTCTCTCCATGTGACCCATACTGGCCTTGAACTAGCAGTGATCCTCCCGCCTCGGCCTCCCGAGTGCTAGGACCACAGATGTGCCCTCCACACCACGCCCAGCACATTTCTGAGTTACGGCAGGAAGTAACCCACTCCCTGCCCTTCTCTCCCAGCTACTGCAAACACGTGACCACCTACGAAGAGTCCAATTTCTCCCTGAGCTATCAGTTTCTACTAAACCTCTTCGCCTTCCTGCTGCGAGTAAAGGCTGCCCTCCTCCACGACGAAGTGAGCCTAATTGAAAAAAAGCTTTTTAAAAAGAAATACAATGAAGCCAAAAAGAACCCAAGATCCAGGAAAGGAAGAAGATAGTGGACCAACGAAAATGGAGACTTTGTTGGAAAAATATTTTGCAAGTGACAGTAATGTGGAATTGTGGAAAATATAATTTTACCACATGTAGAGATGGAACAAGCTTGTAAATATGTGTATTACAAAATGAGCAAACTTTGCATTTATTTTTTTAAGTGATATATGTTCTTTGAAAAAGTTAAAACAATAAATTATGTAAATCCAGAAATTTTTATTTGCTGTATTTATTTGGATTTCGGTTTTGGTGTTTTGAGACAGGGTCTCACTGGGTAATTCAGGCTGGCCTTGAATTTGTGGCAAGCCTTCTGCCTCAGCCTCGTGAATGCTGAAATCACAGACAGACTGCACCATGCTCAGCTGCATTCATTGTGATTTTGGTGTTGACTTTGGTTTTTTGTTGTTTTTGAAACAGATCTCACTCTGTAAAGTAGCAATCCTCCTGCCTCAGCCTCCCAAGGACTGGGATTCTAGGAATGCACCACCACAGCCAGCTGCAGACGCTTCTAAAGCCAGAGTGGAGGAGGGCAGCTCCAGGACCTGCCTCCTGGCATCTGGCAACCAGAGGCAGTGAGCTCACTGGTAAGGTGCCTTTGTTACCTGAGAGAGCCACCTAGAAGAAAAGAGCAGTGTTAAATCCACCCAGCCTTTGCACAGAAAGACCCATCACTTCGAGGAGATGAGGAGGCTGAGGCAGGAGGGTCGCTGCAAGTTCAAAGCCAACCTGGGCTGTGTAGTGAGCCACTGTCTGAAACACCAAAAAAAAAGTATATATGTATATGCATGTCTGTATGGAAAGTGGCTGTAGCACAGTCCATGGAGTGTCTGTACTGCAGGAGGTTAACTGTGTGTGATTCTATATTGCCTAAGCAACTGGCAGTTTTGGACCTAGCAGGCCTGTGCGATTGCAAGCTGAGCACGTGCATGAGGGGCGCCCTGTGCCCAGCCCATCCGGGGCCCCTGCAGCGGGGTCACGCACAGAGCCACTGCGGTGAACGCGGTGCTCCAGGAAGCGCACACAAAGATGGTTTTGTTGACTTCATAAATGGAGAACCTGCTATTTCAGCTCACTTGGCCTTTTGCCCTTCTAAACAATTAATCTGGTTTTTATGGCTGTTTGGGTTGGACGGGGTGATGCAGGCTCCAGGAGGAATCCCAAAGTTGAATACCACTTAATGCGGTGACCTTTTTCCCCACCTGCATCCTTATTAATTACCTTCTGAGATTCAGTTCAGTGGCAGAGGCCCGACCCAGACCTGCCCCAAGTGACCTCGGGTCTCCATCCTCTCCCCGGATGGACATGTGAACCATCTGGAAGGAAGGGAGTGGGGTGACATCAGGTAAGCAGCAGCAACTTCCTAAATTTCTGTTTCTTTCCATCGAACAATGTGTGTATATTTTTATACACGCCCTGTGATCTTGGGAGGCTGAGGCAGGAAAATCACAAGGTTAAGCCCTGGGATATAGCTCAATGCAAAGGGCCTGGGTTCAGGCTGCAATACTGTGGGGAGGGGTGGTTAAGGAGAAAAACACCCTCCTCCTTTTAGCCCTGTGACAGCCCTCCTTTGGGTGGGGGGACCAAAAAAAAGTCTCCACGAAAGGTATCTGCCAGGCTGGGGGCCCACAGTGGGATTACGGCCATACAGGATCGCCTGGCCCCTCGGCCCCCAACCCCTGGGTGTCTGCAGCGAGCCAGCTCTGTGTCACCCAAGGGCTGCGGGCAAGGCTCTGCCCCATGACGTCACCGCACCTGCCACTTCCCAGGCGACCTGAGCGCTGGTGGTTTCAACTCCTGCATCTGCAGTGTGTTCTTTTCTTTCCTTCTTCCTTTTTTCTTCCTTTTTTCTTTTAGCTCCTGGTCCCTATCCCTTCTTTCCTTTTCTTTTCCATTCCTCTCCATTCCTCCCCCCCCTCCCCTTCCCTCCCCTCCCCTCCCCTCTCCACAGTGTGTGGCTAAATTGCCCAGGCTGGGCTTGAATTTGTGATCCTCCTGCCTCAGCCTTCCAGGGTGCAGGGATTACAGGTGTGAGCCACCACGACCGGCTCAGCACAGCCTACTTTTGACATTCGGTGCAGCCCACCTGTGCAGGTCCTGTGGCCTAGCTCCACACCCAGGGCACCCCCAAGACTTCTGGGAGATCCCTGTACCCAAGGGGCAGTCAGCAGGTCTGCAGATGAGGAAGACAGACGCCAGAAGACACAGCACTCACCCTTAGCAGTGCTGCCATGCAGGCCTCACAGGGCAGGGCTCTGCCTTCTGGATGGCACCTTGAATCAAATCGAAGTTCTTTTTAGACAGAAGGAAAACTAGGGCTCATTTTTGCAGCAGGTGGCAAAGCGATTGCCTGCCACGTGCTTGACCCCAGGATCAGTCCGCAGCACCACCAAATAATAAATAGTAAATGTAATGCATACATGAAGGATTAAAAAAATAAAAAAATAAAAATAATAAATGTAGGCGGAAGCTCGCCTATAACCGCAGTACTCTGGGAAGCTGAGTCAGGAGAGTTGTAAGCTGAAGCGCAGCCTGAGTGACTTAGCAAGACCCCGTCTCAAAACCAAAAAATCACAAAAAGGGAAGGGATAGGCTCAGTGTGAAGGTCGGATTCAGGCCCAGCGCCAGTCTGGTTGCCTGTGGCCTGAGGCACCATCCTCCACCCCCTCACGCCATCCCCTGGGTGGCCCTGCAGTGTGGCCAGTGCATTTCACAGCGGAGGACGCTGAGACCTGGAGGGGCCAATGATCATCGAGGGTCACCGGGAAGCCACAGAGCCCATCTGCAAATCACAGCACTGCCCTTTGAGACTGTCTCTCTCAGGTGCCAGCAACTGGAAGTCTCAGTACCCTGGGCTGCCCCCACTAGCATTTGTGACAAGAGAAAATTCTCACCAATCCCCTCGTCTGCAGCAGACCTTTTCTGCATTCCCTGCCTCTCCCCTTGATGACCTCACCCTTCTCCTGATCACCCCATCTATAAATCTCCAACCCCCCCACCACCACCACCCCAACCCCTCATCAGTCTTTGCCTGGACACTTCAGCCGGTGCCTCCCGCCCACATAGTGACTGCCCAGCTCAAGCCCTCTCACCTCTCTCCCCGGGATTGCAACACCATTCTCCTCTCCAGGCAGTTATCATTCCTCAGCCAGTTATTTTCCAAAAATAGCTTTAATAACACTCTGGGGCCGCACGTCCTCTGATGGCTCCTGGTTGTCTACGGGCCAGTAGCTGGGCCTGGGAGGTCATTGGAGTGCGGCTCCTACACCACCACCATCCCTGGCTCAAGCAAGCCATGGCAGCTCGTCCCCTGAGGCGGTGCTGGGACATCCCTCTGTGTCTTTCTATGTGCAGCACCCACATCTCCTTTCAGAGCCCCTCCTCCATCAGACGTGACATCTGTTCAGGACACCAGCGTCTGGATGGAGCCACGGGATGGCAGACAGACGTGCACACCCTGGCCTGGGGGCCAGAAGACTGTGGTTAAGGGATCAGAGTGCTTTTGAGAAATGCAGCAAAGCGCACATCTGGGACATTCCTACCTCTCGTTTGTAAAAATGAGTTTTAGCCTGGCCAAGTGCACAGCTTTGCATACCTGTAATCTCAGAACTCTGCAAGGCTGAGGCAGGAGGACCACAGGTTAGCACCCAGCCTGCACTATTTAGCAAGACCCTGCTCAAAAGTTTAAAAAGAGGGGGCTGGGGATTTAGCTCAGCGGCATAAACACTGCCTTGCAAGCAGGCAGTCGTGAGTTGGATCCCCGGTACCGATAAAAATGAAAAAGACAAAAAAAAAAAAGTTTAAAAAGAGACTGGGGCTGCAGTTCAGTGTGAAGGCCCGGGGCATTCAATCCCCAGTACCACAAAATGAGTCAGCAAAGGAAACGAGGGTGTTGGTGTGGCACTCGCCTCCCTGGCTCCTCCGAAACCTTCCAAGCTCTACTCTGCCTTCCTCTCCTGCCCTCTGACCCTGAGCTGGCCCCAGAGCAGAGTAAGCCTGGGTTTTACAAGGCTTTAAGGAGCTTTGATGGGAAGGATTAAAGGGGATCCAGGTAAGTAACATCCAGGGAGCTCCCCGAGGTTGAGGTTGTCGCATGCTGCAGATGCAGCTCACGCCTGCCCGCCTGCTCCTGGGAACCACCCGGGGCACCGAGATCCCACCCCCCGCCCTGCCGCTGCTTATCACCAGATTCTCTGGATTTTTCCCTTTTTCCCTTCCCAACCCTTGGTCTTCTTTTTTCTAATTATCCCCAAAGGAGTAACTCAAAATCTCAAGTAGTGGAATTGATCGTATCATGATTGAGAAAAGACAGAGAAAAAAAAAAAGTGCAGAAATATTTGAGTAGTTGGGCAGGGAGGGGCAAGCCGATCCTCCCAGAGTTCTGGGAGGCTGAGGCAGGAGGATACAAATTCCAGCTCCTTGGGTAACTCTGCAACTTAGTAAGGACTCCAAATAAAAAATAAGAAGGGCTGGGGATGTAGCTCAGTGTAAAGGCTCTGGGATGGATTCTCAGGTTCACAACACACCAGAGTTTCAAGTAAAGGAAATGTGAGCTTCAGGAAATTGCTGGAAAAATCTAGGTTAATGACATGTCCCCTTTGGGTATGTGACAGCCCCTCTTTACATGGGTCCGCTTAGCAAGTGAGCTGAGCTCTTCCCACTGAATACCAGAGACCTCTGACCACCAGTGGCCTGGGCCTGCGTTTAGTGGGGGACGTGGGCCAATGAGCCTGTCTCAGGTGTGCTCCTTGGCTGGCAGTGTCTGGTGGCTATGCCTGACCCTTTTAGTCACAGCATCAAGGCTCAGGGAGGCTCAAGACAGAGCACCTAGGCCTGAGGTTTCCTGGGCGCTGTGTTGCAACCACAGGGCCCTTACTAGAATGACTGAGGATGGCGGTGAAGCCATCAGACAGGAACGCCAGGTATCTAGGTCCTTCCAGGTGCCAGCAGTCGGCAACGCCCAGCGTCAGCAGCCTCCCTGCTGCCATCCATCCGGGGCCCCCTGGCTGCTGGGATCGCATCTGGATCAAAGCCCAGGTAGCTAATGAGACCTGCCAGATCCCCAGCAGGGGCAGGATGGCTCAGAACAGGGCAAAGCCTTCCCCAGCAAGCACGTTCACCACAGTGGAACTGAGGACACTAGGAATTCGACATATGAGCCAGGTGGGGGGTGTGCACCTGTCATCCCCTGCTTAGCACTCAGGAGGCTGAAGCAGGAGAATCACTGAAAGTTTGAGACCAGCTTGCACTACATAGTGAGTTCAAAGCCAGCCTGGACTACAGAGGGAGACCCTGTCTCAAAAAGGAAAACAGAATGCCAGTATCACAGGTGTGACCACCACAACAAGCTTGGTCATCAGTATTATTGCCCTGAAGTCCACAGAGGAGGAGCCTGGGGCTCAGAGGCTCAGTGCCTCTCCTGAGTGACAGGGATGGAGGGGAGGGCAGAGCCCTGCACTGCTTCCTCCCATGCTCCATTGCTCCAGAATGGGGACTTTCTTGGCCCTCTGCAAAAGCAGTGACATAATTGCCGTGGTGGCCTGGGTGGGACAGAGGCTGGGTGTCAGGACAATGGCTGCTCTGCTGTGATCATCTTACAGTTTTTGAGATGGTTTCACTGTGCAGTTCAGGTCTGCTCATTATGTAGCCCGGGCTGACAAATGTGCAGCAGTCTCCTGCCTCAGCCCAAGTCCTGGGATGACAGGTGCGCACCAGCATTCCTGGTGGCCTTGACATTTGAAGAAATACAGACCAGGACAGCCGGATGGAGTGGACGTGGAATTCAGAACACATCCAGGGGATGCTAGGACAGGGGCACAGGGTGCTGGGGCTTCTCATGGGATAGACATGGGGGCAGATGGAGAAGGACCTGGATGCTCCTGAGGATCTGGGACTCAAGCTGTCACAACAGTGGTCTCCAAGCATGGGTACTGCAGGGACCAGCTGGCCTCTACCACCATTTCCTCTACCAAGACCTGCAGAGAGGGGCTCTCTTGAGATGGTCTTGATGTTTGAAGAGGCCTGTGAGGGAGCCCGGACTATGACTTGATCTGCCACCTGCCCTGATCAGGTCCCTGAGGACCTTGTCATCTTCATCATGAGAAGGGCCTCAAGTTAGCTTCCTACTTCAGAGCCTGTGCCTTATGAAGCTACTTAGCCACTTTCAAAAATTCTTCTTTCAAAATACTACCAGCCTGGACACAGCACTGTGTGCCAGAGTCCCAGAGACTGAAAGGCTGAGGCAGGAGGATCTCCTGAGCCCAGGAGTTAGAGGCCAGCTTGGGCCATCTAGTGAGACCCTGAATCAAAAATTAGAGCAAAAACTACCAACACTACTCTGTCATAGTTTAAAAACTGAAGGCAGGTTAGAAGGGGCACCGAGCCCCTGAGGTATCTGGGCTTTGTGGGAGTATATGGAGCAACATGGAATCTATATTTTACTTTGATTTTATGCAGCACTGGAGCAGGAACCCTGGAGCATTCTGCTGAGCTTTGTCCCTAGCCCTTTTTTATTTTTAATTCTGAGACAGGGTCTCACTCATTTCACAGAGTTCTCAGGGTAGGGTGAAACTTATGATCCTCCTGCCTCAGCCTCCCTCAGTGCTAGTATGACAGGCATGTGCCCCACCAGGCCTGGCTAAATTAGTTCACTTTGAAAGCATAATTGAAACAGCAAATTACTGCATCAGAAGAAAGAGCAGGCTGCAAGGCTCCCATGTTGTCTCCAGGGCTGCAGGACAAGGACAGGAGGGGTTGGGACAAGTGGAGCTGTGGTTGCCACCTGGGTTCCAGACCTGGGAACAGGAACAATAGTGCTGGGGACAAGGGGCAGGTGGAGCTGACTTGGACAGGGCAACCTTCATATGCCTGGTCTCCAGCACAGGCCAGTGGATCGCTGCGCACTGGCCTTGACTCCCATGCTTCTGGGTTCTCCTGACCCATGTCTCTGCTTCCTGTCTCCACCGCGGGTTCCCCTGCTTCTCAGTGTCCACTGTTTCGGCTCCAGGCTCCAGGCCGGTCCCCCCCTCTCCCCTCCTTTGTAGCCTGGAGAGAGCCTGGCCCAAGTCCAGCTCCAGCCCAGACTTCTCCCAGAGACCCAGTCTCACAGCTAACCACCTAGGGGACCCATCTCCTCTGTCTCTCATCAAAAAGCCTCCCACTCTCCCCAACTCGCCGGCACCCCTCCCAGCAAAGGGCGACTCACTGCTTCCAGCTGCTCAACTGAAAGCCTTGGAGTCCCACTGGGCAATCAGACACCACAGGCAGTTTCACCACATCCCACTGCTTGTGAATTAGCAATCTACCAGGATTCCCTGCTTTCCTGACCACCTCCACTGGGCCATCCGGAGTTTATGCTCCTGTTACCTCAGAGGCCACCTGTTTGGTCCCGACTGTTCAATGGCCAGGTGAATTTTGTCTATCCGTTTTCTTTTTTTCCTTTTTTTTTTTTTTTTTTGTCTTTTTCCTTTTTATTGGTACCGGGGATCTCAGGACTGTCTGCTTGCAAGGCAGGTGTTTATGCCGCTGAGCTAAACCTCCAGCCCCCATGTCTATCCGTTTTCAAAGCTGAGGATCAAACCCAGACCTTGTGCTGTGCATAAAGCGCTCTGCCCTGAGCTACATCCCTAGCCCCAGATTATTTTATTTTTTAAATCTGTGATGACTCCATGTTTGCAAAATGATCACCTTCATTGTGAGGAGGAGGTGTGTGCATAACTCAAAAATAATTCTTTTTTTCTGTCCTACCCCTCTCCTCCCACCCCTTGCAACTCTTGGTCTTCTTTCCAGTCACAAACGCTGTTTCCTTTTTTTCCTTTCTTTATTCTTTCCATCCCTTACTCATTTGAGAAAGATCCAAAAGACAAAAGGAAACAAAAATCATCCTAATTTCTCTACTTCCGGTTACCTTTTATTTTGCTTTTTATCCTTTGGGTTTTTCATAGAAGAGAAGCCATGTCCTATTGAAGCGTATGAGCCTGGTTTACTTCCCTTAATCTGGGGACCTCAAAGTGCATCTATTTTCCTGCAAATTCCTCAAGTTTATCCTTGTGCCAAGATTCCATCTTGCCCCAAAAGGAATGGCCATCATCAAAAAATCAAATAATAGGGGCTGGGGATTTAGCTCAGCGGCATAAGCGCCTGCCTTGCAAGGAGGCAGTCGTGAGTTCGATCCCTGGTACCGATAAAAAAGAAAAAAAATCAAATAATAACAAATGCGGGACAGGCTGCGGAGGTGGGGTGGGGCGCTTATTTTAAATCAAGAGAGATCCATAGCTGCCCATTCACACCACACCCCCTTCTCAGGGTGCAACCCTAAGTCCTCTCAAAGCCTTCAGGGACCGATTCCCTCCACCGAGTCCCCTCCTGTTCTGGGCCCACCCGGCCATGCCTAGATGCCCAGGCCTCACCCCGGCTCAAAGCCCCACTCCACCAGGCTCCCCGGAAACCGTCGTTTCTCCGCACCTCGCGGCTGCCAATTTGGCCAGCTTAGCTCATCAGGGACCCTAGCTGGCACTCAGGCGCCTCTCCTGTTGGGTCCGGGCTTGGGGTGGGGAGGTGACAGTAAATGGAGCAGACAGTGACAGGGCAAGGGGTCAGCGGGACTAGCCCCAGGCTGGGGATGAAGGCGGCCTGGAAGTCGGGGCGTCGCGACCCCCAGATGGGTACGGGAGCCTGTGCCAGGCGAGTGAACGGACCCGCAGCTCCTGCGCTCACGAGTGCGGCGGGACTCCGCATGCACACGCGGGGCGGCAGATGCGCGCCAGGGCTGCGGGGCTCCCGCACTGGTCAGGAGGGTCCCTACAGCCACACTGTCCCAAGCGCACCACTCCCGAACGCCGCCACGCGGAGCGCGTGGAACCCCCAGCCGGCGCTTCTTGACCCCCATGGCCCCGCCCCCGCGTCCCGCTTCCCGTCCAATCAGAAGGCGCGACCCTCCGAGACTCCGCCCTTGACCGACTCACCGCTGGCCAATGAGCGGCCGCGCCCGGCGCCCAGTGCGCGCAGCCCGCGCGGAGCCCGCTCAGAGCGAGAAAAGCGAACCCAACCCGTCGGGGCCGCCGCTCCGGACCCGCCAGCGCCGCGGCCGCCGCCTCCTCCCCCCGGTCGGGTGTACTGTCCCAACCCGAAAGTCCAGTTCTGCGGCCCGGCAGCGGCGAGCGAGCGGGCGCGATGACACAGGAGTACGACAAGTGAGTGAGGCGCCGGCCCGGCCGCGCGGCGCCGCGATCGGCCCGTGCGGCCGCTATGCGCGCCCGGGGCCCGGGCAGCCTCGCCGGCTACCGCCGCCGCCCGGCGGGGCCCGCAGCTCACGGTCGCCCGGCGCGCGTGGCTGGCATCCCGCGCCGCGGGAGCCGCGACCCGGGCGACGGCCACGGGCGAAGGGGACTCGCGGGGCCCTGGTATCGTCCGCCACGCTCGGCCGGTCCGGGGCCGAGGACGCCGCCGGCATCGCCAGGCTTCCCGTCCTGTTTGAAAGATCAGGAGTAGCAAGAGGAGGCTGGAGTTGGGGCGATGGGTTAGGACGGACCGCGCGGGAGCGCGCCCCGGGAGCTCGCGACTGCACAAAGTATTTTGTTTGGCAGAGGGAAGGGGATGTAAGACCAGGGAAGCCAGGCCCGGGAGCTGGGCTCTGCGCGCTTGGCAACCTGTAGGTAGCTATGAAACTGCCTCAAAATTTTTTTTCTGGTGCTGGGAATTGAGCCAGGACCTTTGCACTGAGCTACATCCTTGGCCTTTTTTGTCCTCCTTGTTCTCCTTCTCCTTATTTTATTATTTATTATTTGGAGATTGCTCAGCCAGCCTCAACCTCCCAAAGTACTGGCGGGAGGGACCAGAAAAACACTTATTTTTTTAAAAAAAGAAATTCACGCCCAGCCAATCAAGGCTGTTTTAGATCAGTAAATTCAAGGCAGATAGCTTTATGAAGTGTTTCCAAAGGATCCTTTTAGGTGTGCAATTTTTCTGGATGAGGCTGGATATCCTGTGTGGAGTCATCTCCAAGGCATTTAGTTTTGGGTGTAGAATATGCAGTTCAATTAATTCTTCGCTTGAACTCTGTTTCAGACCCCTGAGTACCCAGGAGCCTTCAGGACTTGACCATAGCTGGAGGGCTGTGAAGAAGCCAGGACTCAGGACAACTGCTTCTGTGTTTGTCTTGCCTTATAGCTCAGATAAGGCAAAATTTTCCAAAGCTAACGTCATCTGGAACCGGAAGACTTCCTCTCCCAAGATGGAGACAGCCTGAAAGGATGAGATCATTGGCTTTGGCACCGGAGAGTTGCAGGCCCTTCTCTGTATCACAAAGTTCCTCATTAGAGAAAGTGACCCCCGATTCAGCCTTAAACATTATTAGTTAACCCAACTTATTTGACAATAACTTTTTTCGTATCGTTATAAAAAACCCTTTACTACAGGCAGTATCAGTCCATCATTGCACTTTCAGAGGTAACCAGAAGGCTTAGTGTGCACATGACAGGAAAGCAGGTGGTTACCATCTATATCCCCACCCTTAGAGAAGGCCTCATGTGACAGACTAGTAAATGCATTGGACAACAACAAAAAAGCATCTCAAATACAAAACACAGAAGACATTTCAGTTGAGAAATCAATTTTTACCTTTTTGTGAATGGACTTCAAATCAACATTTGTTACTATGATATTCTGAAGTCTGGCAAACATATCAGTCTGTTTTGGCTTCACAGAAACAGAGGCGTCCATTCCTAGGGAAGGCAAGACTTTCACAAAGGATTCATTCAATCCAGATGAGTCAAGTGAGCAGTGCTGTGTTCAGTAACACACTACTAACATACAGAGTCAACACAAGCTATTATTAGACATACTGGTATTGTTATACCAGTATTCACGTATGAGGTATGTAAGACAGGTTACACCTTTAAGTACTTCATGCATCTTACATAAAAGTTGTGAGTTTAAAACCAAATAAACAAAACACCTAGCCAGACCTGGAGGTGGAGGCCTATAATCCCAGTACTCCGGAAAGCTGTCAGGAGGATCCCAAATTCAAGCCCAGCCAGGGCAACTGAGCAACTTCAGAAGAAATTAAGTTCTCCTGGCTCAAAATTACAAAAAGTTTAAAAACTAGAGTGAGAGTATAGCTCAGTGGAAAGCCTCTGGATTCAATCCCACAAAGGAAAGACAGGAAAGAAGGAAAAGAGGAGGAGAGGAGGAAGGGTAATGTGCTGCTTCATTCTTCTTTCAAACCGACAACATCAAAAGGTCACAAGTGTCTTTCAGAAACTCCTTTGCCTATGCTACATACGGGGAAAAGGCAAAATAAATAAACTATTTTTTAAAAATTCTGTGATGTCTCAATTATCAGATTATTCTAAAAATACAAGTACAGAAACAAATTAAGGCCTCAGATATAATCTGAAATTTTTAAAATACACATGGAATGTCTCAAGTCAGAAAAGAATTATAACAAATTTACTACAAACATCTCCAAATATACCTTTAACCTTCAGTGTAAGGAAACAATGTTTGACTCATAAGAAATTCACCCCTACAAGCTCACTTTTGCTGGATGTTTATATAACAAAATAGAATTACTCACCATGTATTTTAACATCAGCTATAGAACACTTCTGATCACAGACAACATTAATAGCATCTAATTCAGCTGTAACCTTTAAATTGAACATATCCTCTTTAGAAATGGTGCCAGATACTAAAAAGTAATAGAAAATTTGTGATTGGCAAAGTGTAAAGATGATAGAACACACAAAATAATTTCAAATTCAATAAAATAAAATTGTACTAGGAGGAGCCAAAAAGCTCTCCATTAAGATAAAATGTGACTTTGAGTCAATTTTCAAAAACCAACCCAAAATAGCAGTTTCCCTTCAAATTAAGAGTAAACACAACTACTGTTAACATCTTGATTGTGTTATTCATGACATGAAAATTTCACTGATTTTCCTTCCAGAATAAAATAAAATACTTTAAATTAGAATTCTATTCTATTCGTCTAAAAGTTTGATTTAAAAACCTGTCATATACTAAAACAGTAACTAATACAGAACTAAAATATGTTGACTAGTTAACACAGTTCATTTTATTTACTATGGCACTTATTATACATGTTATTTAACTATGGAAGCAATCCAATTTTACTACAGTATATGCAATGGCTCTATAAAGAATTGTAAAATAAATTCAGAATGGATAAGATATAAAGGACTACAGTTCTTTTAAAGTTCTTTCCTATAAAACTGCAAAACCATCAGGATATGTATTAGTAATTAATCCCCATTACATGATGATAAGCTGGTTTTTTCCCTAATACCAAATGTGGCAACATCAAACCATGAAGACCAATCATACAGCAAAACCACAAGACTGTTTCTATGAATTAAAATTGCTTGTAGGTTATTGTAATTTTAAATGTTTATTTTTCATGTATTCAACTATTTTTCTATGTATTCTATTTATATGTTATAACAGAAGAATCCAAGGCTATTACCTCTAGATACTGTACTGCTGTTGCAAGCAAATTAACAATAAAATGGGTAAAACGCTTTTACTCTAGAACAATTCGCTATCTTCCAAGGTTAAAAAAAAATCAGATCCTTGTATCAGATGTAATGGTAATAACAGTTTTATTCTAAAGATCCCAGTAATACCAATTGGTCTATTCTAATTGAATTACTGTATGTTACAAGTTCATATCATACAATGTGAAAAACCAAAATGATGCTTGCTCTACAAACCAATACACATTCTCTATTGACTGTAGATACTTCAGAGCTAACATTTCACAGCTCAAGGTATCTGCATAGCAAACATGTCCCCAGATCTATTTAGAAACAGAATGAGTCCATCTTCTCTGTGAGATTCCTTCAGTGCGCACAAGGCTTGAAGCCTACTCAGCACTAGACAGGACTGGACGCAATACAATTTTGTAACTATGCGTGACTGCATTCGAACTTTAACTTCTTCCTTTCTCATTTCTATTGCACTGAAGAATGCAAAGAGATGTCAATGCAAAAAAGATGCTATCTAGCCAGTAAAATAAAAAAAAACACACACCATCAAACAACATTTACTTAAAACATTTCAATAAACTGATGTACAATCCTATAAGGAAAAATTTTGAGTTCTTTCAAAACTAATTTAAACTGTCAAATCAGGTATAGTAACATCAAGATAGTAAGTATCTTCTTAGCTTAAAATACATTACAGTATTATATGAGAGAAAGCATTTGACCATTACTCAAAAATTAATACCAGCTTTGATGGCAATACTTCTGGACTCCCCTACAAGTGGTTTTAGCTCAGATTCCTTCCTAGAAGACGACTCAGAGGATGGAACAGCCGATGACAAAAAATCCATAAGGGAAAGTAAAGCTTCTAAATGAAGTAATATGTCTAAGGATGAAAATGAAACCTAAGAAAACAGAGAGGCAGACTAAGACATAGTAACATTTGTGTTAAGTTTCAACACACACAACTAGCACAAGAGCAGTTCAATTAAAGAAAGGCCCTTAAAAAAATGAATTACTACCAGCATCAGTTCTTAGAAACACTATTATGTTAATTGTAATCAGTCAGGAAACCAATACTCATCCCACTCCTGTGTGCAAACATAATTCTATTGTCCACAGGGTTTGAATTTTAAGAAAATGTATAGGAAGTATCCCAACACTGACCCATTTGCACAAAGGGAATGTGAACAACATCCTTAATCCTAATGCCAACACACAATGCTAACATTTAATGCTGAATCAGTATCAGGCCAAATAACTATGGACAGCATTTCCTTGAGAATACATTATTTGTTGTATAAGTAAAGAGCAATTTACATCTGAGAAACAAGCAATCTCTTTATAAATCAAATTAACTTTATAAAAAGTGTATTTTAATTCTATATGCACTGGCTTTATCGACAAAATTAATCTATTTTTATTTTCACAATATTCTAATGTTAGCTCAACCTTACAACTCAAAATGGCTATGAAGCTACATTTAATCATTACCAGCTTACCTTTAGTCTCTGTTTGGTATTGTCATGAACAGTTTTAAATTCCGGTCCATCACTGTCTGCCTACAAACAGTGGGTAATTAAACCAATGGATTACAAACACTAAAATTCCATGTACTGAATAAACATCCATTTTTTTACTTATTAAAGTATGCTATTAAAACACTATAAAACACATTTCTTATAGGTAAAGAACATGATTTACACCACATCTCCCATCCTACAGATGAAAAGAACTACTCTGGAGGAAATACTAATGGACAAATCTGAACTGCAGGGGAAATGCTTGTGTACTGGATGATAATACACTCTGCTTCAGAACACAGCACAGCTTTTCTGTTCCACTTGTCCAAACCACTTGTCTGGTTTCCCTAGGGAAACCAGAAAGTTAACGGGTGTGTGCAGATGCTTTCAAATTCATCGCAGTCAACCCAAGGATAAAGCACACTTTCAAAGGAGAAAAACTGGAGCACTAAACATGAAGGGAACAGACATAACTTAGCATATTCAGGAGTTAGACAGAAAGCTGGTACCTTGGTCAAGGCCATCTTCAGGAGCGGCTCCTTAGTCACGCAAGAGGAGCGCACGATGTGCAGAGGGCCTCCTTCTGCGTCTGGGGGCAAGAGACAGGCTGGTCAGCACTGCAAATGCCTCACACTTCTTACACAGCATGAACAGCCAGTTACATTAAGGTATGTTCATCAACACTAAGAATTTTACACTAAATATGAATTACACTGCTAAATTTTAGTGTAAATTTTACACTAAATATGAAATCATGCTTCAAGAAGCCTGGCTTTGAAAAGAGAGAAAAATCCCTAAAAACAACAAACCCAGTACCAGTCAATTATATAACCTGTGAGATGTGAAAAAATGTTCAGCATCACTGATCATTCAGAGATGCAAATGAAAACATCACTGAGATTTCACCACACCCCGGAAAGAATGGCCAGGATCAAGAAATCAACCAATAACAAATGCTGGAGGGGCTGTGGGAAAAAAGGAACCCTTCTTCACATTGGTGGGAATGTAAACTGGTGCAACCACTGGGAAATCAGTGTAGATTCCTCAAAAATCTAGGATTGGAGGGCTCACAGTCTAGCTATTCCCAACTGGGTATCTTCCCAAAAAAATTAAGAGCATCATACCACAGTGATACATGTGCACTCATGTTTATAGCAGCACAGTTTATAATAGCCAGATCTTGGAAAAAACCTTTAATACCCAGTGATTGAGGAATGGATAAAAACAAATGTAGTGTTTTTATGCAATGGAGCACTACTCAATCATAAAGAAGGACAAACTGGAGACTTTTATAGGTAAATGGATACAACTTGAGACCATACTCATTAGTAAAATAAATAAGACACACATGTGTAAACATCATATTGTCTCATTAGCATGAAAAGCTGAAAGAAACAACATATATATGTGTATATATATATATTTATATATAAAAACAGTCAAGATAATTTAAAAATTATGTAACATTTGGTACTACTACTATTACTCATTTGAGCAAATCACATATTATATGCTATAAAGAACAAAACTATAAAATACATAAAAGCAGGGATTATTCTCAATATGAGCTTGTTTTATTTTGAGACAGGGCCTGGCTAGGTAGTGCGGGCTGGCCTTGAACTCCCAGAGCTTCTCCTGCCTTGGCCGCTTAAGTGCTGGGGTCACAGGCATGCACTACCACGCACGGCACAAGCTTGTTTTCCTAAAGCTCTTCCACAGAGTTCTTATAAACCTTAAATGTCACCAGAAACTTTTAAAAGTTGTCTCATATCACATTGTTCCTTTTCTACGAGAAATCCAGCATAAAGATGAAGACAGCTTAGGAAGAGGAAAGGGACAAGTGTGGGGGACAGGTGAGGGAGGGAAGGGAAAGGGGATGAAGATGTGTGGTGTAAGGTGTCAACTCCACACAAGGGAAGGGAACTTTACACACTACGCACATGTACTAGCACACTAAAACTAAGAAAGAGAAAATGAATTTAGGAGATCCAAGAAACTCACAAAACAACAATTTAGTTTTTACTTGAGGGGAAAAGAGACTTCTGGATTATGTTAAATTTTTCCTTCCATAAACTTCTGTATTGCTGAAATTTCCTTTTTCATAAGCATATAGTGATATACATGAGAAGAAATTTTAAAATACATGTAATTTTGAAATGAATAGCAACAAATAAACTAACTCAACTTTCCCAAGTAAGTCCCTGCATGTACCCAGGTCCTGGTCTCCTGATGGATCAGCTCTCGTGGCACAGTTACAACGAAACAGTGCCTTTCCTAAGTACTGAAGTATCACACACAGTGACAAGTGGCTCCTTTTCCAGAAATACTCTACTCTACACTACCTGAGTATGTATGTGTAACTAGGTAAGATGGTAGGTTTTAAACCGTCACATGCCTTCGCATCAATACATTTAACCTGAATGATTATGGTGACACATGCGGGGTGGCGATCCAGAAGACCACCTGCCTACTGCATAACTCACTGACCAGTGAAATCCAGGCACTGCATGCTGACTTGCTGGAGATAAGCTTCAGCGGTCACGGCATAAGCTTGAACTCTAGCTTCCACTCCAAGCTGCAGGACACTGAGCTCGTGCACTGGCCTCCCACTCTTTTCTGCCTTTTTCATCAGCATCACCATAACCTGTAGGAATGCACCAGTATTACCACCCACGATTTCACTGCTGCACAAGAATTTAATAAGGACACTGATACAACACTGAGAGTCACACAATGTAAAAACGTCCACCTTCTTTGGTGACTGGAGGCGGCATCATTTACCCGAGGCGACACCTATGCTTGTTCAGACTGAAGCACTGCCACTTTTTTCTAGTGGTTTTCTCCACCCTGACCACTGTCCTCAGGGAAGGGAACTACCATAGTATCTACAGCAAATCATATTACAAAGGACTGACAGGTTTTCCATCTACTTATGTTAATTACACACTTGTCAAAAAATTGACTCCGATCAGTCTTTTAATTATCAAGCTTAAAAATCTTCAGTAACTAAGCTAAGCATGGTGGCACACGCTTGTAATCCCAGCACTCGGGAGGCTGAGACAAGAGAATCATATAGCAACTTTGAGACCAGCCTGGGCTACAAAGTAAGCTCAAGGCCAGACTGAACTGCAGAGGCAGACCCTTTCTCAAAAACACAAACAAATAAAGCTTATGTAACTGATATTACACAGAAAACATACTGGAGATTTAACAATCCAGAATCTAGTTGCGAAGTGACCACAGAGCCCATTCATTCATCTTTAGCTCAGAGGAAGAGCATGACATTTAGAGAACTACGCAACAACCAGGTATTTTGGGAAAGGTCCGTGGTTCCCTGTACGCTCTATGCTTTCTCACAACTTCATGCCCACTCCAGTCCATCCTGCCCCCCCCCTTTCTTAATCTCCTTTTCTCAGGTTATTTACTGCTGCTCTTTTAAAAGCTCAACTCAAAGTTACACTTCCTGCAGGAAAACTCAGTTTAATACACTTGCGGACCCTCTCGGTTTGCTCAGATGCACCTTCCCTACCACCAGTGCCACAACCTTAACAGAACCCTAACTGAGCACATCTTTAAGGGGGAACAAACACTTCCGAGCTCAAGGTCTAGGCATCTAAATATCTAGCACGTGCAATGAATACGTGCTGAGTGTGTGCGTGAGGGAGAGGAAAAGCTACCTGACCTTTCCTCAACAATCTGTAAATGGAAGTACACTGACCGAGTACCATTCTGCATGAGTACTATAACACTTAGTGTACATTTACTGGTTTTATTCTCGTTAGAATTTCTAACATTTGTAAAGGATTTTGCATCACTAGTTCCCTGTCTTGTTATGCTTAGATAATAAAAAACGCAAAGCAAGGCACATTCTGGCTGTCTCATAATCATTAAAAGGAAGTTATAGAAAATCCTACAGCTTTCTCTATGTAATCTTGTATCCCCCAAACATAACTCATCCTTAAACTCTCAAATTTTAAACATCATTACATGTAAATAGCCTACCTAAGATTTTTTCACCCATATTAATTACCAGAAGCTTATTTTAATGCAGGTAATTCTACAAATCCATTAACTTACCTCTCTACAAAAACATGAAAATCACCTACCTCTTTAATTTCAAAATTCAGCAGTACATTAACAATGTTTACAGATCTAATTTCTTCTCTTTCAGCTCTTGAAGCATCTTTCGAAGCTTGTAACCTCTGTGATGTAGAAATTTCAGGGGCATCTTTGATTTCACCTACAGATGTTTAAAAGAAATTCATTCACTTCTATGCACACATTTCTTACACACTCAGGAGGACATGGAGAAGTGCTCAGGACCTAATAATCCATAAATCAATAACCCTTCTGGCCCTCAGAAAACCCACAGTTTAGTACAAGAGACATATACATTTAAACTAAAAACAAAAGACTAGGCATGGTGGCACATACCTATAATCCTGGCACTCTGGGAGGCTGAGGCAGAAGAAAGGCAAGTTCAAGCCCAGCATGGGACTATTAACAACTCAGCAAAACTATGTCTCAAAAAAATAAATAAAATACTAAAAAAGGCTGGGGATGCATCACTTTGAGTTCAGTCCTCAGGAAGGGTGGATAGACAGACACACAGACACGCATGCACACCCACACACACAGTCTGCCCACTAGCCAGCCAGGCAGCCATACCTACTCACATGGAGTGGACAAAGGTTAACAGACTCTAAGGTGCACAGATGACACCAAACAAGGCACAGCCTGGTTCCAGCGCGGGGAAGAAAGGCCTGAGGGCGGAGGCATCCTCCAAGCAGAGCTGAAGACATGCTCCCGAAGAGTGGCTCCCTACAGCTTCACATAAAACCCGGGGAGATACGAGACCCTCCACGGTGGGACCGGTCGGAGCACAGTGACCTCTGGGCAGATGGGGGCACTATCTAGGCCTCGCGAGCCATGCTGCACCTCACTCACAGGGATGACACAGGAGCACACACTATAAAAACTCTGCCTCGCACACAAGATGTGTTCATGGATGTTACAATACAGTCAGAAAAACCCTGAAATCCTATGTTTCACTTTAAAAAGGGGCAAAACGTTTTAAATCTGGTACCATCTGGTGTTATAAAGGCACGCAAAAGCTACCCAGTAGGAGTACAAACCTAATACAAGTTCTTTAGTGAGCAATCAGCAAGATCTGCCAAATGATTACATCAATTTGTTAGATTTTTATGTTACTAATAAATTTAAATTAATAAAGATTGCACAGGCCTTAACTGGTATTTTCTCATGACACACAAGTGCAAATTCAGTGCAACGTGATACAAATGAAACTTTGGAAGCGTGAAATTTCTGTCAGGAGAGACTTGCTAAATAAATTATGGCACGTACTTCCACAGGCTCTAATACCAGGCCGCCATTAAACAGAATGAAAGCAGCAGGCATGCTGGCAAAGGCCTGTAATCTCAGCACTCTGGGAGGCGCTGTAAATCAAACTCAGCCTGGGCAGCTCAGCAACACAACAAGACCCTACCTCGAAATCTAGGAAAGGGCTGGGAATGTAGCGCTGTGTACAGCCCTAGTACTTGTGCCCTTCGGTGCCATGAAAAAAAGACAAAAATGAAGACAGCCTATAGGGAGCATATAAACAGATATAAAAAGCACACACAAAAGATACTGATAATTTAGGAAAAACATAGCAAGGTTCACAAACACAGGTGCTAATTTGAAAAACACTGAAGATTATATCAATATGTGTGTGTGCATAACACATTATTTATATACATAAGTGTGTGTGTGTGCATGTATATACAGCAGCATGGAAAGTATGTAGTGGTTAAGCCAAAAAGGCCGTATCTGATCATTTAAATTTGCTTACATATTTATTGCAGCATGTTCTGGGATCTTCGGAAGGAGTGATAATTTATCAACTATTTTAATTCTTACAGACATCTGACTACTAAGCCTAATTTAAAAATCATATGGAATGTGCTACCACAGCTTAGTGGCAACTTAATTGCAAATTTAATAATTATTCCAGGACTTCATAATACCTGCTTGCTTAACTAATAAGAGTCAAGCATCTTTAACCATGATGTGTTATTTGCTGTTTTTGCTTTTATTTTTAAGACAGGGTCTGTGTAGTTCACACTAGCCTTGAACTCACCACGTAGCACAGGCTGGAACTCAGGACAACTCTCCTGCCTCAGGCTCCTAAATGCTGGGCCATCAGCAGGCAGCAACGTGTCCAGTTAACACATTTCCACTGGGTGGCACTTTGTTTATTTGCTGGTAATACAAATCCAAATCATGAATGTGTACCTGCTTACCTCACGTGTCCTGTCTGTGCTGGGCTGCAGGTGCAGCACAGGGGTAGTATGTGCACCTTAACTCCTAGACTCTGGATTCAAATCCCAACCCACCATACAGAGAAGAGAACGATGTCTTCTTATTGTCTATCAAACTGCAAAATAACTGTGAAATGTTAGCCACCTACTGTGCATCTCTTACCTGTCTCTGGTACTCTTGGTTTCACTTTATCTAACTCTTCAGGAGTTTCACCAAGATTTTCCAACAGTATTCTAAACAAAACATTAAGATCTTCTTGATTTAGACAAACCTGTGAAATATTAGGTTCAAAAGGTAGATATATTTCATTTAAAATGCAGCAGTTTATTACAGAACATTCTCAGAAACAAAGCATGAAGCACAGAATAACCCTACCTTACCAAAAATATATACAATCACTACGCACGTGTTTCACTATTTCATGTTAACATTTTATTTTCAAAGATAGTAACATAGGTCAACATTCACTCCACTGACTTAATTTATATTATTTTTTACTGAAAGGTATAATTAGAGAGTTGATTTTTTTAAAAGACATTCTGCAAATACATCCAATTTTGTTTGTCTGTTTGTTTAAACTGAGTGAAACAAAATGGCTGTTTTCAGTTACCAGGCACTTCTCCCAATGCTATAATTATCTTAGAGGTACTACTTAGATGACCTTAAAAATTAAGTGATATATGATATACAGCAGACATGAAACCAGGAAAATTTGTGCAGATTTCCTTCCATATGTACAGAAAATGTAAAAGTTAAATATTACTTATTTAGAGATTTTTATTGAAAGGGGTAATACCTTTTTGAACTGTATCTTACTGAAATTCTTACATCATTCAGTAAAATACTCTACTTTTCAGGGAGTTCTATATTAAGAAAGTCTTCAGAATGTAAGACTTCAATGACCAAGGGTTTTTTTTTTTTTTGCACTTGTGCACTTACATTCATTGTATCAAGATGTCCTTTAATTTCCACAACAGGTACCTTATGATACCAATTTGCAGCAAGATTTCGATTTACAAAAAACTCAAAGTTAATTGTGTGCAACAGCTGAATATCAGGCTGGGAGGTGCCTGGTTGGATCACTGTCCTAAAGAAAAACAGAAACATCAGATGTGGACATGTATGAGGGAAACACAACAAGAGCCTCTGCTCTTAAAACAGCAAAGGCAAGTGGTCATTTGCCTTTTTAAAATACTGATTTGAAGCAGTGTTACTTGAATTTTTCACTTCAAAACCAAGTTATAATTAATTGATAATCCACTATCAGGGACAAATTACACTGTACACTGTACACTATTAAGAAAACATTTTTCTTTTAAAAAGAAATTTACACCGTTGAAGATGTGCAAGAAATCATCAAACTGTTTCTTGAGGACTAGCAGAGTTAAAATCACCAAACAGAGGTATTCAAACATACTGCTACAGTGGACCAGGAATGTTTCCACAAGATCAGAATGGAGAGGACAAATGACTGCTGCCTAGAGATGTCACGACTGTCCTTGGTGGTAGTGCAAGGCACGATGTGTGGGCGTGGAGATGCTGCTGTGAGCAAGCCTACTGTACAGCCAATCACACAGAATCACAGCACATCAGACCACACAGAGTACAAAGTCTTGATCATAAACTACTGTCACTGGCTTATGGATTTATTATACTTTTATTACGTTAGACTATATTTTATTTACCAAACAAATGTAACTACAACAGCTTGCTCCGTCACACTGACAACAGCCTCATCATCTCTTGCTGACTGTGGATCCGGATTACAAAAGACCACATCAAAATAACTGACCTACACCAGCAAGGCTCATCCAAGGAGCACTGTGACGTTCACACAATGATGAAATCGCCCACAACTCGTTTCTCAGAAGGCAGCCTCACTGCTAAGTGATGTGTGACTGTGCGTTTTTTGGTATGGAGACCAAAAAAGACAACAGTAACAGAAACATTCTCAAATCACATGTCTCACAAATTTACTCTCCAACAGTATTTTCTGCAACTGTCTTATGAGTATTACTTTTTAAAATATGGATAGTTAAATCACCTTGGATGGAATAGGTCCTGAGTTTTAATTTTTTGTGTGTCTTCATGTCTCACACAGTGTGAGCACTGAGGGTATTACTTAGAGAGCATTCAGGCCAAAAATGCTTCGGCTTAATCAAAACCCATGAGGAATCACTCAAAAAAAGAGTTGTTTCATGGAACAGCCAGATTATACCTCTCAAAACCAGCATCATTGTAAGAGACAGAAAAAGGTGCAAGAACCATTCTAGAGAAAGCATTTATCAGGACAGAAGTTCTTCTCAGTAAGAATGGAAACAGTTATGTGTGATTCTGGAAGGGGAAGGGAAATTACTACAAACAACATCACTGCAACAAGTGATATGACCTTAATGCAGACTGCACGTTAGGTGATATTACGGTGATACTATATTTTCAGAATCTCATAAATACATTGTAGTTAACATCAAGAGAATGAATTTTCTTGTTTATAGGACACACATGGTGAAATATTTAGGGGCAAAAGGTCAAGATGTCTATTATTAAATGATTCAGCAAAAATGTTTTACATTGTAAAGATGCTGTAAGTAAATGACAGCAAATGTATAACAGACTGGTGAATGTAGATGAAACATTTATGTGTACAGTCTTTATTTTTCCAGTTTTAAAAAGGAAAAAACACTGATTCTGTGAAACAGCAACCTGTTGAGTATGAACTTGAATGATCATGAAATATCATAGAAAAAGTGAACCTAATACTTAAGCCCGGAAACACTGGAGAACACACCTGGACAGCTTCAGGTCCGTGAGCTGCACATCCATTCTATCGATCACAGGAGGATTTACAGACCCTTCCCCAGACACAAGACTGAACTGGTTCTGAACTCTGATCAAACCAAGGTCCACCACAACAGCGTTGCTAGAGACAGAAGACTGTGGGATGACAATAACGGGTGCTTTCAAATTAATGCTGACAGAGAAGCGCAAACTCCGCTGGGCAAGGTCTTTCACACTGGTGGCGGCCTTTTCTGCAGCCTGCGTGGTGGCTGCGCTCAGGGCCTCTTTGGCTGTCTGGAAATTGTTCAGGAAGTTCTGTAGACACAAAGGAAGTACGGAGAAATTGAAACAGAAAGCAGGCTCTCAAGAGGGACACCACCTTTTGTCTCCATGATGCTGACACCTTTTAGGACAGGTAACTTTCTGTAAAGCCCGCTGTGACCATGTTAGATGGGAGCAACTACTAACTCATCCAAGGTCACGAGCTGCCTGGCTTACACAGGGGTTACACAGGGTTACACAGCTAAGGAAAAGGAAGGACGGAAATCCATTCTCATGATTTCTGCATGGAAGAATGCGGCTTCAATACTTACTCTAACAAAAGTAACTTCAATTCAACACAAAAATCATTAAATCACTCAGATTTTAACTGTTAAGACAATTTACTTGAACCTTCATACATAACTACCACATCTAATCAAACAATATCACCTACAATGCAAGATTTGGAACACTTGCAATCATAACTATCAGCATTGTTTCCTCAGCTGAAAAACTCATATGAAAATAGCGATTTTACCAAAAGGGACACAAGGAAATTATGAAGATAGACAATCTGAATGCAGCCAACATTCAGCGACACCACGCCATCCACTTTGGACATGTCAGTGTATGAATCCCCTTCAGTCGCATCTGGGTACAAATCCAAGTTAAAACGAAAAACTTCATTTCCCATTATTGACACAGCCTGAAAAACAGAAATGTGAACATATTCTTTCTACCAAAGTAATGACAAAGTAAATTACCACTTAGAATATGGTTTATATTTATAATCTTTATAAAAAAAACAAACATTTTCATGAAGTATACTTAATTTCAAATTCATTACTTTAAAATTGGATTTTATATGCAATCACCAAAAAAATAGTAATCATTTATTTAGTCCAACTTACTTTTTTATGAACTGTCTTAGGATCAACGTCTGTAACAATAATATTTTCCAGTCTGGCAAAAAGTGACTGCTTCCTTGACTGAAGAGAAAGAGAAGAGTCGAGGCCTGAAAAAAAAATTAATATAACTTCTATAGATCTAGAACGAATAAGATATTTATTTCTATTGTATGGTGCAATTTTTAAAAATTTAGCAACATCTCAATTCCCAACTGATCAACAAGCTATAATATTAGATATTTTATACTTTTATAAACATTCAACTTCTAAGTTAATAAACATTAATTACCTGAATTTTCAATCCTCTGACAAAAGTACATGAGAGATGATCTCGGGATTTAGTATATCCCTTATATCTTAAACCCAGGTATCTACATGGAGACTATGGAAGTGTCACAAATCCAGTTCATTCTAGTTGATGTACTACCAGATTAGAAAGGACAAAAAGAAATCCCTACCTTTCAGGTTCTTAAATTCTTAAAGGATTTCATGAAACAGACTGAGCATATCTTTACCTTCAGCAAGTGACAATACATTCTTATAACTATTAAGACCAGAGACAGAGCGAGATGCATTTCAGCAGCTTTCTCTGTAGATACTGATGGCTCACAGGCTTTCTCTCATTGAAGGGCTGCTGTGCAGAAAGCACAAATGCACAGAGCAGTACTAACCTCCATTCCATCACTACATACAGACAGATAACTACACCCATGATGAATAAGGCTGGTGAAGAGCAGGATGTTCGCAGACTGCGTGTGCAAGCCGGACTGCCACTCCTGCCACCCGTCAGCATTTCTGCGCGGACATGCACTCTTCCACCCTACACAAGCCTGGGCCAGGCCCACAGCACCAGCGCACGCCATGAAGGAGCGGCGACGCCCTTGAACAACTGTGCCCCAAGAAAAAAGCACCCGATTCAACAGTATCCTGCTGGCTCTACCCCTGCCGAAGGCCTCGTTCGTGTATTCTTTAACATTGAAAGGGAATAAATGAAAGAAGAAAAAAAAGCTCATCTTTTAATAAATTTTAACACTGTATTTTTTGTTCTGTTTTGTTTGGTGATGCATGGAATTGAACCCAGTGCCACCAACAGGCCACATTCGCAGCCTTTTTCATTTCGTATTTTTTTGAGATGAGGTCTTGTCTAAGTCACTAAGTTACCTAGGCTGGGCTTGAACTCTAGCTCCTCCTGCCTCAGTTTTCTCAAGTATGTTACCTTCTATCTATTTGGGGTTTTTTGGATCCATGACCCAAACTCAGGACCTCATGCTTGCCAGGCAGGCATTAGGCCACTGGGCTATATCCCCAGAACCTGTTACCTTATATCCTGATTTCAGCAATACTGCTCTTCTCATTGCAAATGGTGACACAGAAAGCATTTAACTTGGCAAACAGTCTGAAGCCAATAACATCACTGTCTTTAGAGGATACAATCACTAAAAAGAAAATAAGAGTTATTTCACAATACAATTCAGATAATATAAATTCTATTCAAGACTTTTCTATATTAACTGAACCACAATTCTGTTAAACAGAAATATACACATACACAAGTTAAATTACAAACTTAATTTCAAATACTTCTTTTGCCTTACAAAACTAGGCTTTTTAGTAGATGTTCCTTTTGCAATTTAAAAAGAGTCAGTCCCCGACTTATGAACAAATTCTATTCCAGATTTGTTCGTAAGCGAACAAAATGCATCTTATAGTTCAGTCTGAATGTCAGTAAGTTGGTGACGTTCTGTAAAACAAAGTAAATAAGCACAATAAAATTCTGAATAGCTAAACAATGCACCTACAGCCACATAGTTTAAGTAGGAAGGTCAGACTCTGAACTGAGCACTTTCCTTTCTGAAATCTGGGCTCTTGGCTTGTAACACCTATCTGGAAGCTGGCCCTGTCCCTGGGTCAGGATGGCCTCCAAGGCCTCGAGGAGAGTTCTGGTCTCAAGAGCCACTGAAGGGAGGAGAGCACACTACAAATAGAGGTAGCCTCACATGCTGCCCCAAGACAACCCCACACTACAGAAATGAGAACAACAACTTTTTTAAAACAATAGTATTATCTATATTTGCCTCGTGTATCAGATGTTGGTATCTGATTTAGTGCAATAAAAGGGAAACCAGGAAACAGCATTTGAATTATTGAATTAGCTGACACCTTAGATTGCTCACTGAGCTCTAGAGTTCTAAGACTGCTGATGATAAGAAACACACAAGTCTTTCCCACCTTTCTGCAGAGAGGAATTTGTTTGCTTCTCAGTGGAGATCTGCACCCCTGGTGGGCCGCCCATGCTCTGCCCATCGGAGGGAAGGATGGTTGTCAGGTAGTTAATAGAAGAGAGAAGAGCTTGGGTTTGCAGCAACAAGTTCAAAGAGGAAAAGGCCACCTAAAAAGTTTTAAAACAAAGTTACTTTTCACTGGCAAATGCCAAGCTGCTCTATGCACAAGGGGCCTGACAGGCAGCCAGGCTTGCATCACGGCTTCGCAGCTTCCATCACTGGGAAGACAGCAGTGAGGGAAGTCATGACCCTCAAGGCAGGGGTGCAGAGAGAGCAAATTAGATGTTCTCGCTCAGTGCTCCACGCAGATTAGGGCACAGGTCCCTAATCACTCCATTTCCCAAGCAGCTGCCCAGGGAGCCTATATTCTGCTGCACGTGGCCACCTGTATTCCCAACATGCATCTTTGTACATTTCCCATTCACTACTCATCATGATCATATAACAAGTTTAAGTCAGAACCTGAAACTCCACAAGCACTACATACTACTAAATCCACAGAGGATTCCAAATGTGGCATCTGTGAGATTAACAATTGGAAGAGTTCTGTTACTAAATCATTAAAACTACAAAAATGGTCCTGTCATAAACACAGAGGAAAGTAAATGTCATAAAAGTACTACACTTTTAGAAAAATGACTCCAGAAAGCTAAGACAACAACACAAATTGCCTCAAAGAAAGTGGTTTTCTAACAGCAAGTTAAAACCAAAAGCTCCTTATAGAAAAGAATCTTTCGTTTTCTCATTTCTGCATGGAAAGAAATGTACACAAACAGTATGCTTATAATTCCAGCACTCAGAGAGACTGAGGAAGAAGGAATACAAGGCCAGACGCTGTCTCAAAATAAAAAATATAACAACAGAAAAACACATGCACACATCAAAGAGGAATGTTCACCTATTAAACCAGACCCTCTCAACCCTCTTTTTTGGTGCAACCCACAAGCACCAGCTGCCACTTCTTTAGGAGCACTTACCTCCCTCCCTGTGTCCTACACACTTTCTCAGCCCTGTATTACTTGAAGCTTACAATCCTCTCAGCTGTTTATAGATCACTGTTCCCTTATCTAAAGCATTCCCTTCTTTAGAAATAACACTGCAAGGGCTGGGGATTTAGCTCAGCGGCATAAATGTCTGCCTTGCAAGTGTACAGTCGGGATCCCAGCAGTTGGGTGGCTGAGGCAGGAGGATCGTTGCAAGTCCGAGACCAGCCTAGGCTACAAAGTAAGCTCAAGGCCAGCCTGAACTGCAGAGAGAGACCCTGACTCAAAAAAAAAAAATTATAATATGACACAGCCAGCCAAAGTAACAGGGTTAATTTTTCTCCATTTAGTATGATATTGGCTGCTGGTTTGTCACAGATGCTTCAAGAATAAGACAAGGATGTCTACTATCACCACTCCTACTCAATATAGCTCTGGAGACATTATACAGAGTAATTAGACAAGCGAGAGAAATAAAAGGAATAAGGATAGGAAAAGAAGTTGTTAAACTATCATTTTCAAATGACATGACATTCTACATAGAAGACCCCAAAAACTATACCAAAAGACTACTACACTTCATCAGATTCGGCAGTGTGCCTGGATACAAAGTCAACACTCAAAAATCAATAGCATTCCTGTACACAAACAACAAACTCACTGACAGAGAAATTATGGAAATAATACCCTTCACCCAAAATATGAAATATTTAGGAATTAAGCTAACAAAGGATATGAAGGATCTATATATTAAAAACTACAATACTCTGAAAAAGGAGACCTAACATGGTATCAGAAAATAGGAAGCCATCCCTTCTTCTTGGATAGAAGGAATCAACACTGTGAAAATGGCCATACTTCCAAAACTATTATATGGATTTAATGCAATTCCTATCAAAATACCATTAGCATACTTCACAGATCTAGAGAAAACATCCGTAAAATTCATTTGGAAACAGAAGAGACCTAGAATAGCAAAGGCAATCCTGGGCAACAAAGGCAAGACAGAGTGCATCACAATTCCTGACTTAAATTATACTATAAAGCTACTGTGATAAAAATCAGCATAGTAGTGGCAAAAAAACAGACCTTAAGATCAATGGAATGGATCAGAAGATGCAGACAGAAATACAATGACACTCAGCTACCTTATTTTTGACAAAGGGGGCAAACGTTCACTGGAACATGTTCACTGCCTCTTTACTAAGCAGTGCTAGAAAAACTGGCTTTCCACATGCCAGAGACTAAAATTAGATCCGTGTCTATTACTGTGCACTAAAGTAAAGTCAAAATGGATTAAAGATCCAAATACTAAAACAGAAACACTAAATCTACTGGAAGATAAGGTAAATAGAAATCTTGAAGACACAAGGTAGGCAAAGAATTCATGAACAAAAATGCAAACTGCATAGAAGTACTTCAAAGAATCAGCAACTGGGATTCTTATCTTATTAAAAAGTTTTTACACTTCAAAAGAAATCACAGAGTGAAAAGAAAACCCATAGAGAAAAAATTTTAGCCTCCTGTCCCTCAGACAAAGGACTTACTAGAACATATAAAGAGCTGAAAATATCAGGCCCCTCAAATTCAAACACTTAATTCAAAAATAGGCATCTGTGATGAGCATGCCCTTCTCAGATGTTGAAATACAAATGGCAAATAAATACACAAAGAAATCTTCAACATCACTGGTCATTCTAGAGATGCAAATTAAAACAACATTGAGATTACACTTCACTCCACAAAGAATGGCTGCTACCAAGAAATCAACCAATAACAAATGTCGGTAGGGAAAAAGGAACCCTTCTCCATTGTTGGTGGGAGTGTAGACCAATGCAGCCACAGTGAAGATCAGTGTAGAGATTACTCAAAAAACTAGGACTGGAGGGCTCATTCAATCTAGCTATTCCTCGACTGGGTAATTTTGCAGTTTCCAGAAGAACTGAAAACATCATGTCAAAGTGGTAAATGTGCACCAATGTTTACAGCAGCACAATTTATAATTGCATTAATCTGGGAAACAACCTAAGTGTCCATTAACTGAGGAATGGATAAAAAAGATGTGGTATTTTTATAAAATGGTGTGCCACTCAGCTATAAAGAAGGACAAACTTGAGGTTTTTGTAAGTAAATGGATGCAACTTGAGACCAAACTCATAAGTGAAATAAATCAGACTCACATGTGTTAAGTATTGTACTGTCTCTCTTATGTAAAACATTGAAAGGGGGTCAGGGATTTAGCTCAGTGGTGTAAGTGGCTGCTTGGCAAGTGCAAGTTCATGAGTTCGATCCCTGATACCAAAAAACAAAAACAAAAAAAACCACTGAAAGAGTAAGAAAGATCCAAAATATACAATAGATACTGAGGAAAGTGATAGGAAAAGAATCTGCTCAAAAGGAAAGAACAACTGGAATAGGTGAAAGGAGAAAACAAAGAGGGGAAAGACTATATGTACATAGACTCTTTTTTTTTTTTTTTTTTTTTTTTTTTTTTGTCTTTTTTGAAGCAGGATCTCACTATGCAGTTCAGGCTGGCATTGAGCTCACTTTGTAGCCCAGGCTGGTCTCAAACTCACAGCGATCCTCCTGCCTCAGCCTCCCAAGTGCTGGGATTACAGGCATGAGCCACCACGCCCAGCTATGTACATATACTCTTTATACACACTCAATAGATAACTATACTACTAAACTATTAGTTTGTCCAAAAAAAGTTTGCTCTTTCATTTTTATGCCTATATCTTGTAACATGAATGTCACTTTGAAGGGAACAATATACAATACATAACCACTGTTAACCTATTACTTTGTTTTGAAATTTTATATCATCATTATTCTTTGGCTTTTAAAATTTAAAAAAAGTAACAGCTTTACTAAAAATCCGAGTATTTACAAGGTTAATTTATAACTCTTATTGGTTCTTGATTATATCATCAAGTTACACAGATCCTATCCCCCCAAAAATACTAAAGATTTCCATTAATAATTATTTTCAATAGGATATATGCTTTAATAGAATTTCTTACCTTAAATGTCTGTTCAGTTTTTTCAAAAGTGGTTTGAAAACTAGGTCCACTCTTATCAGCCTAAATAAAAAATGAACAAAGGAATTAAGACCAAAGTAATTAATCTACTGTAAAGTCATGCATTTTACTGACTGTAACATGCTGTGTGTTCTCCTCTGGGAGCCCGGGAGAACAATTACTCACTTCAGGGAACCTACAGCAGGGTGTGAGAATGATACACCTTGGGAGGTAGAAGGTGCAAAGGTCATCTAGGTCATCTAGTACATTGGACACCTAATGCTGAAATCCCTTGTCCACTTCTCTGGTAAGTCTGTTTACATCTCCAATAAAAGAAACCTCATCTTAGAAATCCAATCATCAGGGTGCTCTGATTTAATGAGGTCTTTGTACTGCTTCAATCTCCCAGCCTTATTATTCACTGTATTTCTGATCCCTGAAACAAACAGTGTAACTCCAAACACAAAAGATGACCTCCCAGGGCCAGGGATTTAGCTCAGTGGCTTAACTGCCTGCCTTGCAAGAAAGCAATCGTGAGTTCGATCCCTGGTACCAATAAAAAAAAAAAAACGAAAAAAACAAAACAAACAAACAAACAAAATGACCTCCTGTGAGTTTTCTGCCATCGCTTGTCTGCTTGTCTGCTCCCACAATGCTTTTGTTTTGCTTTATTATATTCATATTACACTGCTATATAATAATCATATTGTCAACCAATCAACACATTTTAATTATTTATTTTTGTAGCTCTCCCTTCTAGTTTATAATTTGCCTGCAAAACATAATGTTTGTCATCTGTGTCTCTAAGCACCTGGTAGTGTAATCCATTTAGAAACACATATAGACATTCAATAAATAATAAGTGATTAAAACAAACCTATTAAATCTTAAATGAACCTAATTTTATCAATTACTTCAGCACTTTCCTGGTGCATTTCTTGGTCTCTTTCCAGGCCTGGGAGTTCTCTGCAGCACCTGATCCAATGTGTTTTTTTCTTTGAATGTGGCTTAGCCAAACTGTCACCTACTATACAGACAAGTGTGGACATATAATTATGCCCCTAAAGAGAGAAACAGTGCCTCCTTCCACCCAGGCTTCTGCATTTGAGAATAAGAGGTCAGCAGCCTTCTAATAGCTCTTCACTTAGTGAAAGAAAAACAAGGTGTTTAAGTGCAAAAAGAAACAGTTAAAAACTAACCTACCACCCAGAATGATTAGTAACACACTGTCCTGTCCACTTCCCAGGGGCACAGTCCAGACTAGTGCTGGCAAATCAAAGACAAAAGATGCTAATGTAGAAGTTGTTCTTTCCTAAACAAAAATCTCAGTATTCAGGTTTAATTGCACTTAATTGGCATTCTGCCATAAAGAAGTGGGTTTTGGGGTTCAGTCTGAGCTCTCATGTCTCCACAGGTTCTCCAGCACTGCCATGGTCCTTACCTTAATATACTCTACTTTTAAAAGATCGGACCCAGGTTTGTCAGAAGAGCTAATCAAGTGAAGGGGCTTTTTTCTTGATCCTACAGAAAAAAAAAAAAACCATTTTCAAACAAGTTGCTTCTAGAACTTGCTAGACACTTCTTTATAAAAGCTGCTAATTAAGCTTCAAAAGAAAACCTGTGCATATTTTCATGGTTATTAAATACTAAAACCATCACTCTTGGAGAAATAAGCCACTCCAAGTTCTTGCCTTAGGCATCTAATTTACTTTAAAACATGTATTTATTTTCAGTTGAATTCACATCTGTTCAAAACTAATCAAAGCTTCTTTAGATATTTTTAAGGCCACATGTTCATTAGTAAGGCAGCAGAACAGACTACAGGTGCCAGCATCAAGAAATATCAATTCCAGCTCACCTCTATCCTTCCTGACTTAAACTACAGACATATTTTTCAACAATGTAACGAACAAGTTGGATGGGATTCTGTTGTGTCTAAAATTCTATGAAAGAACTTTATAGAGAGAGAACTTTGTGTAGACTGGGAGAAGAGAATTTCAAGAGAAGCAAACTGCAATGCTTCCTGGAAAGTTTAAACACAAGCAGCCTCCACCCCTGCACCTGGGCCAGGAGCAGCTCGAACGCAGGCCCTGGGAAGGGAGCAGCCGCCCACCGCCCACCTGACCACTGGACTTCTACTCCTGCTTCCCCACCGCACAGGGCATCTTTCTCCCGAGTCCTAGTCCTCCATGACAACAAAACAGCCTAGAAAATTTATCATCTACATTTCCCTCTTTCTTTCTGTAAATTCTTTCTTTCTGTACAAAAAAATAGTAACGTAAAATATTTCTTTTCTAAATTGAGGCTGATTTCAGTTACAAATACTCTCAAATTATAAAACCCAGGCCTCTATATTTGACTGAAGCACTAAAGAATTTTAATTATCATACATTTTATTCCTTCATGCCTCAAATATCTGAGGTCACAAGATAAATACTGAGATGAAGAAAGTTGTCGAGCTTCTAAGAGAGTGAACTTCGTATTCTCCCATTTTTATTTTTAACTGGAGCTTATGACATGTGACCACTACTGCACAGAAAGCCTGGGACCTGCCAGGCACAGCTGTTGTAATCCCAGCCCTCAGGAAGCAGTGTTGGAGGATCACCATGAGTTTGAGGTCAGCTGGGGCTAAATTAGCAAAATTCAAGACCAGTTGCCTTACATAGTAAGACCCTGTCTCAGAAAGAAAAAACAAAGGGGACCCTCAACATTGTAGGATCAGAGACAAACTCTCCAGTCTTCTAGCCATAAATACCTGACATGAAGGAAGCTACTGAATTCTTCTCTGACCCTTTTTTTCTGTCCCTGTGTTTGCTAAGGAGAGTTACACAAAGGCAGAGGTAACAAATCAGAGTAGCTGAGAACAGCAACCCCAGACTGCTAGCCTGCCGGACTGCCAAGATTTCATTCATGGCTCTGCTACTCCTTGTTAGACCAAGGGTAAATTTTATAAGAAATCTATACCTTAGTTACATAAAACTACCAACAGTAACACTATGTTATTATAAGATTTAAATGAATTGTTATTTGTAAAGTGTTTTGAACAATGTTTACTCTTGTTTATAATAGATACTATCATAGAAATAAAAGTGTTTTAGATGCTTAAAAGTGCTACTTTTATCACTTCCATTTTTAGGAATATTACCTTGAATTTCCTGGTAATCCAAGCTGATCTTCTTTAAATAAGACACCACAGTTAGGTCGAAAGTTCTCACTGTGGCCTCTGTTCCTAACTGAGTAACATTAAATACTAGAATTGTATCTTCTTCTTTCTGTTGTTTAGTAAATTCCAAAATTACCTAAAAGAATTAGCATAGCCAAGTGAAAAGTTGACAAAAGTTTAAGTCATAGTTCAAATAAAAAACAAAGTCTTTCTCCATACACATCACCATGAATACAGTTAAAACTTTGCTCAGACCCCTTTCCCACCATAAAGTTATTTAATGTTATAAATTATCATTATCAAGAGTATAAATTCCTGTATAAAAGATTATGGTGAAATTTAACATCTTTTGTTGACTTTTTTAAGTTTAGAAAAATTTAGAATTTATGAAGTCTTCCTTAATATTTTCTCAAACTAAAATCACATTTGGTGATAACAGAAGCTATTCAAGTAAAAATTTATGACAAGAAAGTCAGGCAGCGGGCATATGCCTGTAATCCCAGCACTCAGGAGGCTGAGGCAAGAGGATTGCCAATAGCTCAAGGCCAGCCTGCACCACAGAGCAAGACCATGTCTACAAAATAAAAACAAGAGAAAAAGTTATGACGAGAGTGCTTGTTATCATATTACTTAAGTTAATTGTGGAATGGCAGCTGATACATTTAGATAATAAAAAGCAAAGCATGGTATCTTTTAAAAGATATAAGTTCCCTCTATTTATTTATTTATTTATTTATTTATTTATTTATTTTCCCCCAAAATTCTTTAATACACTCTCCAAAAGACAGAGGTCTGTGCTGCTTCCTCCTGAACCTGGATAGCCTGTGAATGCCTCAATCAATAGAGCGCAGAGGACTCTGGTAACACAAAGGGCCTGGGAAAGCTGACAATCACCATGGGAACCTGGAGAGTCAAGCCCAGATAGCAGCCAGCCCTCAGCCTCCGCCAGCCTCCGCCAGCCTCCAAGGGAACCAAAGGACCTGCACCCCAAGGCTTCCAGTGACTGAAGCCCCAGGTAACACCTGATCAAAGACAACAGGCAAACCCAGAGTAGTCCAGCTGGGCTTTTTGGTACTCCTAACCCACAATGCATGAGCAAACAAAAATAGCTGTCTTAAGCAGCTAAGCGTGAGGGTAACTTGATAAACAGCAATGGTAGCCAGTAAAATAGAAAAACTATGGAAAAGGCACACTAATATTAGCAGGTGGTATGATTATGTACTTAAGAAAAATCAAGCCAAAAGCAACCAAAAACAGAAGATAACAACAAGATAATACAGTAAGTAAAGTTCAGCACACACTTTATATACAAAATAAGCTTCCTACTCATTATTTAAACAAAAGCAATGAAATCGTAAATACATAAAACATGGGGCCAGGAATATAGCTCAGTGGCACAGGGCCTGCCTTGACAAGCATAAGGTCCTGCGTTCGATTCCTGGGACCCACAAAAGTAAAAGGGGGAAAATATATACATTTAATATATATATATATATATATATATATATATATATATAAACATAGGTTTTATCTATCTATATATATATATATACATACATAGATTTTATATATATATAAACATGGGTAAGTATTTTGTGAGAATTTTCTAGGCATACACTAAAACTGGGTCATAAAGAAAAAAACTGATAGATTTCACTATAGAAACCTTTTTAAAAAGTTCTACTGGGAAAAGTATTCCAAACAGCATTATTCTTTTTCCTTCAATAGTTCTGTTTTCACCTCAGTTCATTCAATAGTCAATGAAGTATTTATTGCATATCATGTACCATGCATGTATCAGGCTGTCCCAGGAGCTAAAAAGACCAAGGTTAAGCAGGCCAGACATAGTTCTTGCCCTCATGTGCCCCACATGCCAGAGAGAGAAGGAAAAGGAACACTGCTCTCTTGAGGTAGTCAGGCCTTCCCAGTGAGGAGACACATACAAGCGCTTGAAGCACACAAGAACCAAGCCATGCTAGGAAAGTGTCCCCAACCAAAAAATGGCAAGCAGAGAAAGTTCTGGTGCACATATGTGAGAAAAAACACATTTAGTGGACTTGGCGGTGCAAGGACTTCGCTCCCCACCCATTTCCAACATCAACACCGATGTCTGGTGGAGGACGGCACCGCACTCACTGGAGGAATGCAAGAAACGCAACTGCAACAGAGGAAGCAAGCAGAAAACAGTGGCCCAAACAGGCAGGCGGGTGGGTGATCCCTGCAAGGCCTTGCAGGCCACAGGAAAGCACAAGTCATCACTGAGCCAGGGGAGGGCACGAACAGAGCAGCGCCAGGACGCGGCCTCCGTGTTAAAAGGGTCGCTTTGGCTGCCTTATGGATAACAGAGCAGCGGTCAGGAAGCTGCTGCAAAGATACAGCCCGGAGATGAAGAGGACAGGACAAAGAGCAGCAGTGGGGGAGAGCAAGTATGTGAGTGCAATAGAAAACAAAGCTGAGAGGTCTGCTGCTACTGGGGGTCAAAGAGGAAGAGGAAGACAGCAGGCTAAAAAGGCTAACGCATCTCACTTCAAACAAATACCAGCAATGCTTGGTCCGCATGCACAAGTCAAATCAGTGACATTTCTCAGATCTGTAGCTGTAAACACCGCACCCCGAGATGAACAATCTGTACTTATCAAAGAAAACATGTATATGAAATTTTAAACAGATTATGTCCTTGCTAGTGTACATTCCATTTTCATCAAGTAACTATATACCATGACCATATTTCCAGGTTTCCTTTTACTACATGACTTATTTTTTGGACCATTTTGAGACAGGGTCTTGCTAAGCAGTACAGTCTGGCCTTGAGCTCACTTTGTAGCCCAGGCTGCCCTTGGACTTGCGGGATTCTCTTGCCTCAGGCTCCTGCGTGCTGGGATTACATTTGTGTGCCACCACACTCAGCTTACTAGATGACTTTTAAAGGGCAGAAAAAGCATGCTGGAAATTTAGGATGTTTACATTTTTCCAAACTATAAATATGACAATGAGCAACTATTATTTAACTCACAAATGAAAGTTAAAAAAATAAGCTGAACTTTGTGACACATGCTGGTAATCCCAGCTACAAAGGGGAATCCAAGGTCAGAAACAGCCTGGGCAACTTATCAAGACCTTGTCTCAAAATACAAACAAAAAAGAGCCAGGGAAGTAGCTCTATGATTCCTGGATTAAATCTCCAGTACCACAAAAAAAAAAGTCAGAATTGTCTGAAAAAACACAAATCCTAATTAAAAGCTCTGAGCTCTTCCAAAATAGATCAAACCACAAGTCATCCCTATTTAAAAAAAAAGAAAAAAAAGACTTTCATTGTTTTGACATGGTGTGTGGAGGTACATTTTCCTAACCTGATGTGTGGTCTACCATGAAACAGTTTAATGATGACAAGAATACATTCATAGACAAAAAGTACACATACTTCTTTAACTTCAAACTTGAGCAGAAGATTAATGAGGGCCTCGTTCGGAACCTCCGCAGCCTTTCGGGGTTCGGAGCCTGGCGCACCTCTAGGCACCTGGGAGGCACCGTCTTCAGCGTCGAAATACTCATCGTCAGACTCTAGGGTAGAAAGACATTCACTAAACACTGCACAAAGCACTCAAGCCCAAGTCCTCTCAGGCAAAGTTTATGCATTAGATGTAACTCTATATTCACACTCAAAACTGCCCCAGAGCTTTTATCAAGTCCCACGAGGTGACTCAGTTAGGCACGTGATAATCAAATTTGAAATCAAACAGCACTACAATCTTTCCTTCAGTGACTTCATTTTTGGCTTAGTTCACTCATTGAGTACTCCATGAAATAGTTACTGACCCATCTACCATGTTCCAAGCTGTGTCAGCCCCCAAGAACTTAAGAGTGACCAGAACAGACATACTTATTATCTCTGCCAAGCTTATGCTCTAGCTTGAAATCTCAAAAGATCAACTAAGCATGGCTACGGAAAAGGATCACACAGAGATCAGATCATCAAGTAGCTTATTTAGAACCTGAAGTAAAAATTGTTGACCACCAAAAGGGCTTTAGTAAAGAAACCTGACCTTCCAAACGTAAATAACTGAAGGCACACTGTTAGGTAACAGCACGAGAACCAGAACCAGCAGACTGCTGTAATGCACTCCTAACACCTCTGCTTTTCTGAAAATGTTATTGTGATAAAGATAATTTAGAAACACACTTTTACACTCCTTACCTGAATCCATTTCACTCAGCAATAATGAAGTACCAAGGAGAACTTCTGTCCCACTTGAAGCAACAGGAACTGACTATACCTAGCAAAGTACACAGAAACAAAAACAAAATATGAATTTCACAGGATTAAATACACACGAGACTGAAAACTAACAAAGTTCAGAGATGGAAAAACTCATACACGCCATATATAAATCTTCCAACAGAATACATGACATCCAGACACAGGGACACGTGCCTATAATCCTAGCACTCAGGAGGCTGAGGCAACGAGATTGTTGTGAGTTCGAGGCCAGCCTGAACTATACAGCAGGATACTGTTTTTTAAAAAAATTTTAAATAAAAAAGGAAGGATAAATTCTGTAACTGAATAATAGTTGAAATTTACAAATTAAGATTGTCATCATGTTTAAAAGATAAAATTATGTATAACTCTAGCAGATAAGGTGATTCATTAATGTTTATCATTTAGCTGCTGTGAACATCAGAGGTCCCTAGAAAATGAGTTCAGCATCAGATGATTCTCTCAAAATGTGTTTCTAAGTAAGCAAAAATACAACATTTCTTCTGTGTGTTTGGGGTAGAGAAGAGGGTTTTCACTAGTAGTTCACGCTGGCCTTGATCTCATTATGTAGTCCAGGCTGGCTGTGAACTCAGTGATCCTCCTGCCTCTGCCTCACAAGTGCTGAAATTACAGGTATGTGCCACCATGCCTGGCCCAACATTTCTTTTATGCTATGAAAATTATTTCAATTAAAGTGACTCAGAACTTTAAAGTCCAACACACAAGGAAATTTTATCCCCATTATTTTATTTGTAACATTTCTAAGATGATGTATATTTCTAATTTTATTTAAAGTATGTTTTCTATTTTATTTTCCTTTCCTGTATTTTTGGTTCTTTCAAGCATAAAGTTTGCCCTAAAACTGCCTTCCGACTGCTACTCTATTACAGCAGTTGTCTGAAAACAGAAGATTGAATATTTGTGTCATACCCATTACCTGTCTCTCTGGAGATTGAGTTGATGATTTCTGTGGCAAAGGTATACTGTTAATCAAACACAGCACATCTTTCATCTTCTGGTCTGAAATCCTCACATGCATCAAAGGAAGTCCTCCTGATGCTTTAAATCTAAAAACACAATTCAGCCGTAAGATTTCAGGATCAGCCAGCCTCTCCATCAGTACTGCAGAGGGGGAAGGAGCTGCAGAGTCAGGTTACTGTAGACAAGTTCTAATCCAATCCCTGGCTTGTGCTGACAATACTGTCAGCCAACTGGGATTCTAAGTCAGGTTTCCAGGTAATTTAATTAATTTAAGGATACCTGGTAATTTAATTTCCAGGTATCCTTTTTTAAGCAGCCAAACTTTTAAAGGTTTTTACAAAGCCTAAACATACTAAACAAATTCTCTTTTTAAAACCAAAACCGCCATGTATACTTTATTTCCAAATATCCAAGATTTCTCATCATTAGTGGAAAAGAGTATCTATCCTGTCACTATCTCCTTGTCTCTTATTTATTTTAACAGAGCACTTGGGAGCGCTTCACAAGCCATATACGGATACACTAGCTCATCTCACATCTCTGGCTGCAGTGTAAGTTCCCTGAGGCCATCTGTCCATCTGTCCACACTGTGTCACAGGCCTGCTGTCCTCAGCAACTGGCCCCACAGCTGTTCCCTGCACCCACCCCAGTCTGCCTGTCTCCATCACACTGTGCAGCCACTGCCGCCATAAAACTCTTTTAAGTTATCCCTGGCTTCCTGGCTGGGCTGTGAATAGCCGGGCTTACAGATGCCTACCTGCAGGTGGGCTTTTAGGGTCAGGATAAAGGCAGCAGTGGTTAGAGGGAAACTCAGAGCGCTACATGCCTACATGAGCAACAAGGCTCAAACGAATGACCTCAACTACTACCTCAAGAAAATGCGAATGAAAGGGCAACAAAACTCAAAATACGCAGGAAAAAAGAACAGCAGTAAACATCAGGGTAGAAATGAGGACCAAAAAAAGGCAAAAACAGAAATCGACTTGAGAAAATATTTGAAATTAAAAAGAAGGTTAAGAAAACTCATAAATCTCTAGCAAGACTTGTAGGAAAAAAAAAAAAGAGGGAGAGAAAACTCAAATCACTAATACCAGAATTGAGAGAGATAACATGACTACAGATTATTAATGTATTAAACAAATAAGAAAATACTATAATTTTATGCTAATAAACCAAACAACAAAGATAAATTTCTTAAAATCATGTAAAATATTTGCAACACTCAAAGGATGATTCAAAACAATCTGAATACATGTGAATCTCTATAATAAACTAAATTTATAGTTTAAAACCTAGAAAAAAAAGAAAAACTCCAAGTGCTGACGGCCATTCTAACGTCTCTTTCTAACGTCCCCTTGGCCAACTCCACATGAATACCCATGGGCTGCAAGAAACACGCAGCCGATGGGTGGGAAAATAGACACTTCTTCCTCTTTAAAAAAAGATTTTAAAATTCTTCCAAACATAGAAAGAAAGAAAGAAAGAAAGAAAGAAAGAGAGAGAGAGAGAGAGAGAGAGAGAAAGAAAGAAAGAAAGAAAGAAAGAGAGAAAGAAAGAAAGAGAGAGAGAAAGAAAGAAAGAAAGAAAGAAAGAAAGAAAGGAAAGAAAGAAAGAAAACTGATTTCTATGTAACATTTCCCACATAGCCAATATTACCCTAATATCAAAACAAAAAAGAAAAGCATGGATCAATATCCCTCATGAACACAGATACAACACTTGTTAACAAAATTTTTGCAAATTATTCCCCATGATATTTTGAATATTACCAAGTAAGGTTTCTCTAGTAAGACAGTTGGTTTAACATCTATCTGGTAAAGAGTATGAAGGAATTGCTGATACATACACCAACGTGAATGAATCACTAATTATGTTCAAAGAGATCAAACAAAAAATTAAAAATCTATGTTTTCATTCATATAAAATTCTAGAAAGTTCTAACAAATCCCCAGTGTCAGAAAACAGACCAATGTTGTCCAAGGATTGGTTGAGGGGGAGAGGAATTAGACAGGGAAAGGAAGGGAAGGAGGAAACACCAGAGTTCAAGGAAACTTTTGGAGGTGATGGATGTGTTCATTACTTGCCTGTGAAATTTTCACGGAGATACACACATGTCAAAACTTACCAAATCATACACTTTCAACGACTCAGCCTACCGAATGCCAACCATATGTCAACAAAAATGTTTTTCTAAAGGGCAGTTTAACTGACCAAAATTCAGTTTTAATTTTTATCCTCTTAGATTTTTTAAAGATTTCAGGTAGTTTCATGGTGAAACATGTTTCTGGAGGCTTTACCTCATTAATAATGCACCTTGAAAGAGCTATAATGCACCTGAAAGCCATTTAAAGACACAGATCACCTAATTTTATACCGTCTAAAAGTCTAGATAAAACTTCTCAAAAGGTTACATATAATTCAAATTATCATTTCTTTAAAATGTATTTTAATTTTCTGTCTCCCACAGAAATCTATCCAGTAGCTGATAGGGACAGCATTCACTTTGTTGGTTTCTGAAACAAAAGAAACCCATGCATTACCTGGCCATTCTCGTGTCCTTCTCTACCATCGCCTTGCCTAGCTCCACATGAATATCCATGGGCTGCAGTATATGCATAGTGGACGGGTGCTGAAAACGACACTTCTTCCAGTTTTCCCCTTCAAAAAAGGAGTTTAAATTAATTTTAATGCATTATCGACTATTCTGCAGAAAACTTTTAGTAGAAAATAGTGAAGGGACAGAGTCAATGCTCACTTTTAATTCTTTCATTATACAAGATATTTTTGCTGTACTGGGGATCAAACTGAGGGCTTCACACATGCTAGGCAAGCACTGTACCACGGAACTAGGGTAACCTGTATTTTAAACATAGGCTCACAGAGACTGTGATATAAAGATAATTCTATATACTTTTTGAAAATGTTTATATGACAATGCTTGCATTTCAAAGCAAGCATAGGGGGCTCAGTGGCCTAAGTGCCTGCTTGGCAAACACAAGGTTGTGAGTTCTACTTCCGGTACACACACACACACACACACACACACACACACACACACACAAAAAAAAAAAAAAACCAAGAAGGGGGGAAAAAAAACAGGAATTACCTCAATTCCAGAGTTAGCAATCAAGATAGGTAGCTATGGTAAAAAGTAGGGGAAAAAAGCACAAAAGGGTGGGGGTAAGGTTGATGGAATTCCTAAGAGCAATAATTACATTTGCTTCACATATGATGGCAGAGAAAAAGTTTTGTAATGCAAGATTTTATGATAAAAACATTGGATAATGGACTGGGGATTTAGTTCAGTGGCATAAGCGCCTTCCTGACATGCACCAAGTTGTGAGTTTGATCCCTAGTAGCAACAAAAAGTGTGATAATCACTTTTTCAAGAAAAGAAAATCTTAAAGATAGATTTCCCAATGGCTGTCTTGTACATGTCTTCCTGATGGCAATGTGGAGCATGTTTTGTCACTTGTACTTCAACTGTTTGTAAATACATACTCAAAAAGGGAAGTTTAATGGTTTGTGTATTTGCCTTACAGGAACTAACAGGCCCTTAGTGTACAAAAAACTCACTCTTATAGATTGTACACTGTACTCTGTAATTTTGCCTGTACTTTTCTCCGATGATCTATCACAAAGTGATATACAAAGACATTTAATAAATACTTAATGCCTGTAAAACTAGAGAAAGTATAAATACCCGAAGCCTTTACTCATGGGATAGAGAATACACCACATCTGTTTTGTTCAATTTTATTGTAACTGATGATATAGGCAATTCTTTTTAAGATAGCAAGAGGCATTAAGGGTAACCATTGTTGATCACCTTGTATTTTGTTTTTACATTATGTATTATGTCCATCCTTTTGATTTGACTGACTCTGTCCTATTATGTCACATTTGGTTTTACTTTTTTCAAAAAAAAGTAATAAGAACAGTGGGAGTAATAAAACCCAAAATGTGTAATTGTCATTGTACAAAAGAGAGGAAAAGAAAGTGCTCTACAGGACATAACTGCATGTATATTTAAGTGTATAAGATAGGTAACCATATTACCGAGTTTTATTGGATCACTGAACAGAACTGTTTGCAGTCTCACTGTTTGAATGTCCACTTTATATGCTTTAATTTTGTAACTTGAACAATTATTTCTAAGATGACAATATGTAATCTATTAACTAGTGATTTCCTACTGTTTTTTTCTGAAATTCTGTATAACTTGTACCCTTTTTCTGTTTTTTTTCTCCTTAAATAAAATTAAAAAACAAAAAAAAAAGATAAGTAACATATATAATAATAAAGGCAACATGGGAAAATGACATCAAAACATTCCAAAAAGCATCAGGACAGAGGAACCTGAACCAATCACAGCTTCCATTTTGGATTCTGAACTGTTTTACATCATATTGCAAAAATACAATTTGTGAATTGACTGGGTTCAAACACCACCCTAAGATGAATTGGCAAATACTGTTTCAGTTTATAACTGACAGTGGTTTGCATAATATGCTTCTATATGGTTTTCTTAAGCACCAATAGTTATTTGTGCAAAATCGTTATAAAGGTTTATATATGCACATGAACACATACATGTATCTGACTTAAGCCATTCACACTAATTTCAGTATTCTGAAAGTTGATCAGTGCTATACCCGCTCTTGCAAAGAGTAGTTGCACACTCTTTATTTCAACATCAAACTTGTCATATGCTTTATCCATTATTTCTTCCAAAGATGAACTGGTAGTCTTCTGTAGACCTTGACTTTTACTGTTGAGCTAAAATGAAGAAAAAATTTTTGATTTTTTTACACAACAGAATGTACACAAATCAACATATTTTAGTTGTGTGTTTTCCCAAAACTTAAATAAATGAGACTGTCCTTAAGGCTCTGCACCTCCCACCACCCTACACCAGGAACAGCAGAGCTTTACTCCTTCTCTCCACTGTTCGGTGATAGCAATTAGTCCATGAGAAATTAGTGTCCAGTTCTACTTCCTTTTCCCCCTTCCTAGCCGAAGCAAAGACTTATTTCTGAAAGTTTTATCTTTCTTCCAGAGGTTGAGATTCCATGAGAGTCAAACACCAAAATCTATGGGTTCTTTTGTTCTACTTAGTTACTGGCAGTGATTAAACAAATATATACATACAGTCTCCTGTAAGCAAAATACATAAGCAACATGCAACACTGCATAATTAATCTCGAGAAACCATGAAAACTAACACTGTTCCTCCCCAATTAGGAAAACACAAAAGCAATCCCATCATCAATGTGAAATCACCTACTACTGATTAATAGTGCTATTTAACCGTTATATAATGCATATACTGTAATGTAGGCAAGCACCAGGGAACTACACTCACACTCATACTGAGTAATCTAGACTAACCTTGACAAATGCTAAGAAAGTCTTAGTTTAGTTTAAGTGAACTCTGAGAAGTTTCACTTTTTATGGTAGAAACCTAACTGTGGCATTATCAGAAAAGACTTCAGATTTGTCCTTAAGTCAAGCACTTTTCAAGTCTCAATAATATGTTTGTTTAAGTCCTGAAGAAAAAAAATGGAAGATGAAATGGTTAGGCTGAAATATGTAATAAAGAAAATATGGAAAGAAGAGCAGGCTATCAGTTAGTGAGCTACCAAGCCTGTCAAAGCAGACAGAAGTGTGCATACACCTACCTGAAATGTACCAAAATCTAAAATGAGAAGATTTGACTTTTCATGGTGGAAGCCTGTCTGTGGAACTATTAGATAAGAAGGCTTCAGATTTATCCTTAAATCAAGAACTTTTCGAGTCTCAATTATATGTGTAAGTCCTGAAGGAAAAGAAAAGGAAACGGTGAGGCTGAAATGTATAATCACACTACTAACCAGACTAACAGATTCACTTGAAAGGCACTGAGGAGGGCAGCAGGCTCTCATAAGTCAGATTCTCAGCTGAGGTGCAACCTGCACACAGTCAGTGAAAGTAACTGTCTCACAGCGGAGCATAGTCAGCTCAGTACGAGTCCAGTGCTAGTGTTCTCTATGGAGAGAGAATGAGCAGGTAACACACTTGGCATGAGTAGAGGCCCCGTCACACAGAAGCGTCCATCCTGAAAACCAGCATCCTGCGCTGCGTGGACTGCAGCTTCCCAGAGCAGATGGAGGGTGCCTCCACCTCAAGCTCCTTCCGGGCAGGGTCCTGGACATAGAGCAGGTGGAGTCATCTGCACTCCCTACCGTTCTCCTTGTCCAGCCTAGAATGGACGTTGCAGCTTGAGTTGCCTTGGTACTTTTGTCTTTTCTTTTTTGCTTTTTAGGTTTTTTAAAAAAAACTTTTTTGGTATTGAGGACTGAACTCAAAGCTTCCCACTTGCTACACAAGCGTTGTACCATTTAGCTAAATTACCCCAGTCCCTGTATTTCCACTTGAGTAAGCCGTGTCTGTTGTACAATCCGCACAACTGAAGGAACCTACACTAGTTTAAATACATGGACAGAAGAACACACATTTTTCAAGTGTATGGAGACATGAATTCTTTACCAGTAGCTGTTCTCTCTTTAATTTCTTCCAGCTTCATCAAAGTAGCTGATGTTATTTGCTCAAGATCCAATCCCCTATTTGACTGAAAGAAATCAACCACTGCATTGATGGTTTTCTGTAAAGGAATTTAAAAATACAATCAAGTTATACATATATACCTCTTTCAATATTGTAACTTTTTAAGACTTTGCCTCATTCTAAAATAGTAATGGCTTTGAAAGGAGAAATCGAAAGATATTCTGGACTATTTCACCTCCCACTAGAGGAAGAGCAGCCAAGTAAGATTATAGGGAAGTTGCCAACATCTGCATGTCACCTCAGTGTCAGCTGCATTCCACAGGGGTACAGCGACACAGGCAAGGAACTACAGACATCACTGCTAGCTTTAGCCTCTCGTCGGTCAGTAAAATAGTACTTTTGAAAACTGTGATTGGATTGCATTGTACTCTGAAATTTAGAGAGGAAGTAAGAAGAAAACTATTCAGGCCTTATTTACATACAAAAGTTGATGTTAATTCTAAAAAGAGATTTTTGTAAAATGAAAAAGGTTCTGGAGATTGGCCATAGAACACTATGCCACTTAACACTACTTTAAAACACTTAACGTGGTAAATTTTGTTATGTGTATTTTACAAAAAACATAAAATTTTTAGACGTTCAGAAGCACAGTGCATTCTGGAGTGTCTGCATCCATCCTCCGTGTATACTGGGAACCCATCTCTAACCTCCACAGTGAAGTACAGGAGGGTGGCGGTGGGTGAGGCAGTATGTGGAGTGAGAGGGAGCTTGGGCTAGCGGAGGGCGAGGCACAGACACAGAGCTGGAGGCAGCGCTGTCCGGAACACCTCAGCGTCAGTGCTTGCTCCCATATAGACAGCACTGGGAATTCTCCCCCCACTCCTTGAGCTTAGGTTCCAAACACGGAGAGCAAAAAAGACCAGGCAAACAGTGTGCACCTAATCGGCAGTAGCTGGCACATGCACAGGCTGCTCTGTAGGTATATTAGGGTTTTTACATCTAACATAAGGAGACATAAATAAATCTTAAATACTTAAGGAAAAGAATGGCAATAGCATATGAGAAATTAAAATCGACTACTATAACACACACTGCTTTGAAACAAGAAAAAGCTTATGAAACTGAAGTTTGCTAATTAAACAGAACAGAAGAGAAATAAGCAAACACTAAATGCAAGGCAGCCGCAGCAAGGAGCCCAGCCTCCCTACACCTACAGCATCGTAGATGACCTCCACGGGCTGGGACTGGACGGTCAGCGTCTGGTCAGCAAGGCTGTTCTCTGGATTGGTTTCAAACTCAATTTTAAGCAAGGATGATGCAGTGTCACCAATGGAAGCCACAAGGGATGGCACAGTATCCTGCTGTCTCAGACCTGTGATATACCAGTGTTCTAACTTTGCTTCTACCCTGCAGTCCAAGGAAGAATGAGAAAGTCATAAGAGCCTTTGTAATTTAATAGGCTGAAATACAACTTTTTCTTAAAACAGTCTTCCAAGAATCAGGCCCAGTCTATTACCCAGAAGTGAAATTTAGCTTCCTTAGCCTGCCGTCCATTCACTTTCGTCATCTGTTTGCAATGCTGCTATCACTTTGTGACTGTTTTTATTACCTCACTGTCTGCTGGAAAAGCTCACTTTCACCAACCCCAGGGGACTGCAGCGGTTCTGACCACTTTTTGGTGAATAAAAATTCATGCAAAATGGGAGAAGTTATCTGCCTGCTCCTATGCCAGCCTCACCAGCCTTCATCTCTCCCCTGCTTCTTCTCGTGCTCTTTCCCATCAGCCAGCCTAAGCCTTCATGGGTTCAGTTAGGCTCTTGCCCAGATGAGCTTGTGCAGCAGTAACAGAAGGTACTAATGTACACCATCACCTCACTCTGACCACCTAACATGTTACACAGCTCCTGAATTACTACCTTTATGTATGTCATACCAGCTACAGCTTACACTTCCTGAAAACGAAGGCTCACGGTGCCTACACACAGCTTTCGGAGCCTGAAGCACATGGCATCAAATGTTTGTGAAGAAAAGGAAGGAGAGTACAATAATGATGAACTCTATGTAGTTCCATAATAACTGAAACACAAGATGACTATCTTGGCACACACAAAAAAATTTTAAAAAGAGGTGTTACTGGCCAGGGATTTAGCTCAGTGGCATAAGTGCCTGCCTGGCAAGCATGAGGTCATGAGTTTGATCCCTGGTACCACAAAAAATAAAAAAAAACTTTAAAAAAAAGAGTGTTACTGATCTTTTCCATGCTGCATAGCATTTCATATATTCTGGTCTACAATCATTATTAGAGTTAAAAACTGAAATAAGTTTTTAAAAACTTACTTAAGGGCTTGCGCTCCTGGTCGCTGGCATACTTGGGTGCCCAGGCCAATGATCTGGATTTTTAGGATTTCAGGAATATTTTTGTTTTCTCTGATTACAATAGAAGTGCTTACCAACTTCAAGGTCATTATATAGGCAACATACTGAAGAAAAAAATTGAGTGAAAATTGTTACAGTTTCCATAACCTTTAGCAGTTTCTTTTTAAATAAATATGATGAATTATAATGTAACCTAGCAACATGGAGGTTTTGGCAATCACATAATTACCACAAATGAAGAAGAGCAGAATATTTGATAAAATTTTCTCTCTAATACACATTTATAAAGATCCAAAGTTCATTTCTCTTAAGTTTTAAAGGTAGTATAACAATGACGTACAATAAGACTTCTTGTAGATGAGCAAAAACAAACAAACAAACAAACAAACAAATCATAATAAGAAACACCCACCTGATGGCTGCAGGAAGTTAGCAACACACTAAAAGGAGACTCCTGACCCGATGCTTGTCAAGTCATGACTAGACCTAGACACAGGACAGCCAGCCAACCAGAAGATAACTCTGGAATCTGAGATCGTAACTCAGCCAGAGTGCTTGAAAACTGAATGAGGGAGCCAAGGGGCTGTGAAGCTGGCCAGCAAGATCCAAACTGGAAACGAGGTCCCCACAAAGGGCAATGGCACCGATGAGACTCCCCAACTTTGGCTAGGACCCTGATGGGCCACGGTGCAGGGCGAAAGGCAAGCATCTAAGTAGGCAGACTCCCAGGATCCACAGCACAGCATCGAATCACATCAAGCCCCCCAAAAGACCGAGGTGATCCCACGTAATGGTGCTACAGACACCAGGAAGAAACACAACGTCTCCCTGAAACAAGAATCTACCTTACTGGATACTATTTCCCTATGTCTCTAAAACATAAAAGTATATATCATTTGCAAAATCAATATCTAATATATTAGGCACATATACAGATATGCTCATCAAATCCAGAATATGTCCAAACAAACCCAACAAAAACCACAAAGAATAGATACAGGGACTCTAGACATCACGTTTTACACTCACAGGAAGTGTAAGCTTAGAGGTACACTGTGGTGCTCACTATACTCAAGGAGCTAAAAGACAAAACTGAGCATGTTAGTAAAGAATTTCAAAGCTATTCTTTAAAAAAAAAAAAAGTGTACAGAACCAAACAGAAACTTAAGAACTAAACGATACAAAAAATAAGGAATTTAATGAATAAACAATCAGCTCATGGGAGAATAAGAGGAAACAATTTAAATTAAGAACTTGGATGTACAGAATAAAGAAGAGACAGACACATGAGATATAAAATCTAAAGATATTAGAAATTTTAAAAAGAGAAAGAGAATGAAGAAAGAAAAATAAAAGCTTTAGTGATTTCCCATAAGACCTCAAGATAGCTTAATGAATTCAAACAATCTATAATTCTATATGCAGAAAAAAGAATCCTTCAAGAAAAAAGGGAAAATAGATACATTTTTAGAAAACTAATTACCAACAGACCAGTATTAAAAGGAATAATGTATAGGACTAGAGATGTAGCTCAGCTGCACAGCACCTGTCTGGTAAGTGCAAGGTCCTGAGTTTGATTCCCAGTACAAAAAAAAAAAAAAAAGAATATACAGAAATGGGCACTCTTTGGGCAGAAAGTAATAGTACATGCATGGCCAAACAGAAAGGAACTAAATAACCGAAACATCCAGTTTGGTGACATTACCACTCTCCCTAAAGTAACCCATAAATTCAGTTCAATCTCTAACAAATCGTCAGCATGTACTTCTGGAAACACTGATGATTCTGAATAGCATGTGGAAGCATGAATGATCTAGAGTAGCCAAGATTCCCTTATCCAAAGATCAAGCCAGTCATGGTGGCACAAGCTTGCAATCTCAACACTCAGGAGGCTAGGAAGATGAAGGTAACAAGCTCAAGGCCAATGTGGTCTACACAGGGAGCTCTTGTTTTAAAATAATCAGAGCTTAACACCACTAAAATTTAAAAGATTGATGCCAAGTGTTGGTGAAGATGCAGAATCCTCATATCTGCAAATGGAAATGTTTTCCATCTTGCAAAACGATTTCAGAGACTACACTATTACATACACTCGTATCCTATGACCCAGCAGTTTTATTCCTAAGTAGATAATACACAGGAAATCTTAAGATATACACACTACAAAGATACCTACAAGAAATCCATGGCAGCATTACTCATAATAACCGAAGAAACGGAACAACCCAAATGTTCATCAACAGAAGCACAAATGAATAACTTTTGTTATTTTTTGTAAGTGTTGGAATCCTATGGAGCGACAAAAATGAGCAAAATATATGCAGTACAACAGGATGGGCCTCACAGCAAACACAAACATGTACTTTATAATTCCATTTAGAGAAAGACAAAAATGTACAAAATAAAATCAGTGCTTATAGTAAAACAAAAATCAAACGAATTGTTAACACAAAAAGCTGGTTATTAACTGCCTCTGAAAAGCAAGAACAGGAATATACACAGGGGTTCTATATCAGTGGCAAGACTAATCTGGACCCTAACAGTAATTATACACTTGTGTCCTTTCTGATCAACCAAGTGAGCAGGACATTTCAGTTTCTTTAACTCTTACATGAGTTATGTTTCACAGCAAAAAAACTTTTAAAGATTCAATTTAAACTATAAGAAGCACTTTTTAATCAGATTATCCTTACACTCACTAATATCTAACGTTGAAGGGAAAATTTTAATTGGTAAGGTCTGACTGGAAGCATTTAACAACTGAAGAGTAAAGTAGAAACTAACAATAACATATTTCCAGCAGTTAAAAGTTGGAACTTATGTAATCCAATTACAGACCACGCGGCAGGAAGGATGGAAACACCTCTCCAGTGCAGTGTAATTACCTTCTTGGGCAAAGTCAAGTGACGCATGCTCCCGCTGTAACCAATAGCAGTGAATAGTTTGTCCTTCTCCTCAGGGGTCATAAGATCATCAATAGCTACAAGGAAAACAGTAATTCAAGAAATTAATTTCTTCAGCTTTACAAATAAAACCAACAAGTCAAAACAAATGTCCCAAAATCAACAGAGGCAAACGATAAAACCAATCAGCCAAGTAATTTCCTCTAATACTCCACTATGACAAAAATAAGCACCTGTCTGTGTTCACCATTTCAGTAAAGACAAAGAGATGGTACAAAAGAAATTCTGTTTGCAAAGGGTTTTAAAAGAGGGTCTTAGAAAATTTTAAAACTGAAGTGAAACTTATTATTAAATATTCATGGAAAAGGTAAGTGCTAAGTGCTGAAACCCCTAAATCTGAACATTTTAAATTTCATATAATTCTTCTCAAGAAAAAGTTTTACTTGAGATAAATTTACTAGGATACTGAGCTGATTTTTTTTCAAAATAAAAGTTTTTTGAAATGAAGTTCAACTGGAAGACTAAGGTATAATTTACCTAATTTTTTCTCATGAATATACAATAAACTGGCAGACTCGGAACTTACTTTCAGGAATCAATGATTCTTCACCTTTCTTAGACTCCTTCTTACCCCCAAACCCACTAAACCAGCCTCCCCATTTCTCCCCTGTGTCAGTGGATTTCTTCATTAGTTTCTGCCCAGATCGAATCACCTAAAAAATTAAAATTAAAAAATTAACTGAAAAATAAATGCTTTCTTCATTTTCATGCTCAACACAATGTCAGACTAAAACAGGCACAAAAGCCAGGTCCTTCTTAAATGATTCTCACAATACCATTTGGTAAACAGCACCCTTGTATCTATGGAAAGCATCTTGATGAGACTAAATCGGACCAGCAATACAACTGGTTTCAGGTAAGACTGGTCTGAGGGTTATAATCCAAAAATCTTTCAGTTCAGGGCACTAGAATTGCAGGTTAGTAAAGCAAAGGCTTCCACTAAAGAAAGATGTTCTCAATACCCAAAACGTTATCAGTTCAAAGCAATTGTATTTCAGAATTCACATCCACTGCTGCTTTGCTAACTATGGTATGGCAGGAGAGGAGGGCTACAGATGGCACCCGAAATCACACATCAGACTCTCTCCGCAACAAATTTCTCATCTGTTTCTATTACTCCCTCTCTTTGCCCACTTACCAGATAAACCAAAAAACAAAACACAGAGGCAAAGAAAATTTTCAGTTAGAACATAAAATATTCTAAGCTGATAGTGAACAATTCTATAGTAGAGAGAACAGGCTTGGTTAGTAAATTATAAAGATTAAAAGCATGAGAAAATGTTAGACATTTATCATATGCCAAGGAGGAGTGAAACACTAAAATCTTGTTTGAATTTGCAAGTCACAAGTGAATGACAGACAGTTACTGCAGATATCACAGCTCACTGGTACTCAATCCTTTCTGTGCATGTGCATCATCAAGAAGCTTAAGAAAAACATCAAGGCCCAAGCTCACCCCAATTAAATCCATCTTAAGGGTGTGGGGCTCCAGGCATCCATATGTTATAAAAATTCCCCAGGTGACTCTAATGTACACCAGGTTCAAAACTACAACAATGGAGTTTCCTTCAACAACAGCAGAGATCAAAACACAGGACATTCAGAAGCTGGGCATGGTGGTGCATGCCTGTAATCCCAGCACTTGGGAGGCTGAGGCAGGTGGATCATCGCAAGTTGGAGACCAGCCTGGGCTACAAAGTGAGCCAAGGCCAGCCTGAACTGCGTAGAGAGACTCTGCCTCAAAAAGACAAAAAAAAAAAAAAAAAAAAAAAAAAAAAACCAGCCCACAGGGAGTTCAGCTGCTTCAACTCTTTTTTTTTTCCCCCATTCTTTCAACCTTTATTGTATGAATAAAAGAACTTGAGACAATTTAGCTCAATTTTAATAAATGTTTCCCAAGCAGTATTTTGACCAGGTACCCAAGGTTTAACTTATGAACATTGACAGTGTCCATTTATATAACCACACTTTTAGTTATGAAGGACTTAACCATTTTCTATTAGCCTATTTTCTACACTGCTTATTCACATATGCCCATTAACAAATGGAATGTTGTCTGTTACATTTATTGGTTTGTGAGTGTTTTCTGTCTGTGAAGACCGATTTCCATGCTGGCATTGCATGCATTCAAGTATTAATAATGCACAGAGGCACAGAATTAGAGCAACAAGAGAGCATATTCAAACACTAGCACGCCCCATTCCCCTTTTTATTGCTTGTTTTGCTTAGTACTTTAAAAACCAAATAAAAATCTTGAATTCAATGTTCAACTGCCAAAGAAAAAGTAACAGCAGGGCACATACTTAGGGCTTGAATGAAAGAAATTGTAAGCACTAGCTGGCGCAAAACAGACATTGATTTATATGACCTTTAAATCTAAAAACTCTTTTCTCAACCAGGGTCTTCCAAACAAATTGACAACTCACACCAACATGATTTAGGTTAAAATATACACAAAGAATAACACAATGTGTCCTCTGGGAATTTAAGAACTTGATGATTATCCAAATTTGAATCCAGGTCTTTGGGGAATAAGATGCTTGTACTGAACAACTGTGCTACATTTCTTCTGCATTGAATGATTCTGAACAATCACACCTAAACTACCCTTGGTTTCATTCAGCAAAACGTATAGGGTAAAACAGGAGAAAGTATGCCAGCCAGTTAAGGGTTTGATAATGCATGATTTTTATTCTCTTGTTCTGAAAGCTTGTATTGGGGGAAGGGAAAAAAACCCAAAAATAACTCGAGATGTAAAAACAGGGTCTCCTCTTGTGTGCTTTGAAAAGAAAACAAAACCAAGTATCCACTAATTTGCTCAGATACAGCAGGCTTAGTGGTTCTTTATCTCAAAAAATTAATGGTTTTTAATGTGAGAGAGGGAAAACATCCACTACCCTTTTCCCGGGATTTAATGGAGGGCAGCAGACATTTCTTTATACCCAAATACTACGCAGCAGTTTAAATGTGACCAAGGTAAATGCAGAATGGAGATGTTTTAAACACAGCTAGGACTCAGCAAATCTAACACACTAAAAATCATAATTACATTTTGAAAGAAAATGCACAAAACCATAAGAATTTTGAGATTTTTCATTTGAAAGTAATCTTAATGCTATTAAATTCACAAATATGCTAATTTAAATACCCAATCCTATTTTATCTAAAACACACATTGCAAACATACAAATATCTATTCTTTCCACATGTCAGTGCCCATTTGTATCATGGTTTGAAATGGGGAGAATAGATTTATTCCCCTTAAATCTGCAAGTCAGTAGGTGTTTCTTTACAGTTAACTTTAGCAAAATTCATACAAAATAGTAATTAACAATGATCTTCTTTACTTGTTAACTCACAAGGAAACACCTTCAAAACTGCATTATGTTAAAGTTTCTGTACTAAAGTGTAGAAAAACTGAACTACACAAATATTGAAAAGTTAAAAATTCCTTAATTTTTTATTCCTGGTACCACTACCACAATTTACAGGGCAATATACCTGATGTAATGAAAAGAAAGAAAAAGACAAAGCTACAACAGATAAAAGACCTCAGGAATGTACATCTAATTGACACTACATTGCATTAATCAATAGCTGCACTTTTTGCAAACTGTGGCTATGACAGTCCTGAACCAGAAGGGTTTCCTGTTTAAGCTGCAGTAACTTTTCTGACTATGGATCATCGTTCCTTCTGTGGCAGATTTTTACAGTTCCTCTAATGCATTTGGGACGACTGTCTCAAAGTAACCTGCAGCTTTCCTGACAACTCCTCGCTCTCTCTCCTGCTAAGAACTGTAGCCCTTTTCTGTTGTTTTTTTTAAAACCTTCTGCTACCATATCCACCACTTCCACCACCAGATCCATAACCACCACCATAAGGACTACCAGAGCTTCTGCCACCAAAACTGCCCCCCTTCATGGGTCCATAATTTGACTGCTGTTGTCCACTGTAATTTCCAAAATCATTATAGTTCCCACCACCACCATAGTTACCACCACCAAAATTGCCTCCTTCGTTGTAACCATCATATCCTCCACCACCACCACCGTATCCACCACCTTGGTTTCCATATCCTGGTCCTCCACCATATCCTCCTCTACTACTGTAACCAGGTCCACCACCATAGTTCCCACCATCACCTCCTCCATAACTACCTCTGCTGCCACCTCCACCACCATAGCCGCCTCTTCCACCAAAGTTTCCACCACGGCCAAAATTCCCTCCACCACCTCCAAAGTTTCCTCCACGACCCATAAAGTTGCCAGAGCCACCTCCACGACCTCTTTGTGATCCAGCAGACTGCATCTCTTGTTTAGAAAGGGCCTTTTTCACTTCACAACTATGCCCATTAATAGTGTGCTATTTCTGAACAACAATTTTATCAACTGTATCGTGATCATCAAAAGTTACAAAAGCAAATCCTCTCTTTTTCCCACTCTGCCTGTCTTCCATAACTTCTATGGTTTCAATCTTGCCATACTTTTCAAAGTAGTCTCTCAAATTATATTCTTCTGTATCTTCTTTAATACCACCAACAAAAATTTTCTTCACTGTTAGATGGGCACCAGGCTTTACTGAATCCTCTCTAGAAACAGCTCTCTTTGGTTCCACTACACGCCCATCAACTTTGTGTGGTCGAGCACACATTGCTGCATCCACCTCTTCCACACAAGAGTAAGTCACAAAACCGAAGCCCCTGGAGCGTTTTGTTTGGGGATCTCTCATTACCACACAATCTGTGAGTGTGCCCCATTTCTCAAAATGTTCTCTTAAACTATCATCTGTAGTTTCAAAGCTCAGACCACCAATAAACAGTTTCCTCAACTGCTCTGGTTCCTTTGGATCATGGCCCTCCTCCCCCCGGCGGCGACGGCGACGGCCAGAGTCGGGCTGGGGGCGACCGGGCGGCGGTTTTACCTCCATTTTGAGACCCAGCTGCTTCAACTCTTTCACAGCAGATGAAACTAAGCTACTCTGCAAAGGATACCCAATCACATGCCTACCATCTGGAGTTTGAAAGGTCTGAATTACAGTACTGACAACCCTTCCAGGAAAATGCAGCCTGAGATGGCACCCTGGAACCCCTCCTGGATACCTGCACTTCACAAATGGGAGGATTTATGAAGCATCCTTCATAAACCTAAATGCCAGAAAAACTGCAAGGCACCTGAGTATTAAAATTTTTTAAGTAAACTGATCACTTTAAAAGAGTAGACACAAATTATAACCATCATTTTAGTCTCCATAAAAAAATCTAATTTATGATAATAAAAACATGTATTTTAACGAGATACATTTTTATTTTGAAAAAACATGAATTCATTGAAAAATATCATTAAAACATTAAAATAAATACTCTGTTAAGAGACATCAAGTAATGGGATAACAGATGGCAACATTCAATTTTCTCTTTTTCAAATCTCTACTTAAGTATCTTTTAAAAAATTCTTTCAGGGCCAGGGATGCAGCTCAGCAGCGCAGCACCTGCCTGACAAGCACAAAGTCCTGAGTTTGATTCCTGCTACAAAAAAAAAAAAAAAAAATTATTTTAAAGGAAGATAAAGTCACTATCAAAGTTGAAATCTCAATTAGAGATGTGATCAACATGCTAAAATTTTCAAAGCGTTTCAAAATAAATTCAAAAATAGA